ACCTTTATAAAATCATTGCTAAGGTGCTATCTCGGAGGATTAGAGAGGTGCTACCCTTAATAATTTCCCCAAATCAGGGTGCCTTTGTGAAGAATAGACAAATTGTGGATCAAATCCTAATTGCAAACGAGAGTGTTGAAGATTTCAAAAGAAGTGGGAAGAAAGGGTTAGCGTGCAAATTGGATCTCGAAAAGGCATATGACTTGGTGGATTGGTCATTTCTATTGGAAGTCTTAGAGTCTTTTGGATTTGGGTAGAAGTGGTGCAAGTGGGTGAAAGGATGTATTAGGACTTGCCACTATTCCATTTTAGTGAATGGTAGGGTGGTAGATCATTTCCAAGCTACTAGGGGCATCAGGCAAGGAGACCCCCTTTCTCCTTTCCTTTTTACTCTAATTGCTGAAGTCCTAGGAAAACTCATTGAGAGGGTAGACTCTAGAAACTTGGTGAAAGGTTGGAGGGTAGGGAGGAATAGGGTTCTAGTAACACATCTACAGTTTGCTGATGACACAATTCTTTTCTGTGGTGGGGATGAGGTAAGTTGGGTGAGTAATCTAAAGCAAGTGACCAATGTATTTGAACATGTGTCTAATCTAAAGCAAGTGATCAATGTATTTGAACAGTTGACTAATCTTAAAGTGAATTTAGACAAGAGCTGTGTGATTGGCAATTAATTTGAGTGAAAGTGAGGTGAAGGATAGAGCCCGAATTTTGGGTTGTGAGATTGCTCAATGGCCATTGATCCATTTGGGCTGCCACTAGGGGATAACTCAAGTAAAAAGAGTTTCTGAAGCTTGGTGATTGAGAGATTCTGATAGGCCCCCAATTAACCTTACGCATGCTAGGAAAAGGGAAAGGGCAGCAATCGGTTAAGGGGGGAAATAATCGAACACATGGGGCTTGCCAGCTGGGCATTTATAGAGGAAGTCAGAAGGGAATAAGAAGAGTCTTGGGGCATTTATAGCTATGTCAGTTATGAATAAGAAGAGTGTTGGGCATTTATAACTAGGCCAGCTGGGCATTTATGGGGGGGGAGTCAGTTATGCTGTCAGAAGAATATAAGAAGGGTCTTTGGGGGATGGGGCAGGGCATGCTTTTGTTGAGTGAAGAATACTGTGAGTGATTGGGAGAGCCGGCGGTCTCTCGAAGAACTGGCCTACTCTGTTAATGTTTTCCTTTGAATGAATATCGATTTCTCTTTATTTGAGTTGTGGAGTTCTTGCCTTGTGTCTGAGAATTGTGTGTGAACATTTCAGGACATCAGATTCACTAAGAGGTTAGCATCTTGGAAGAAAAATTACCTATCCATGGGAGGCAGGATAACTCTGTTAAGTCAACATTGGCAAATTTGCCTGTGTACTTTTTGTCAGTGTTTAAAATGCCTGAAGGAATATGTGGGATTTTGGAGAAGTTAATGAGAGACTTCTTATGGGAACCAGGAGAGGAGAAAAAGGATCATAGGGTCAGGTGGGATATAGTTACCAAAACCAAAAGTGATGGTGGGCTTGCTTTAGGCAATTTGCAGAAAAAGAATGAAGCTCTGTTGAGGAAATGGCTTTGGAGATTGACTTTGGAAAGGGATAAATTATGGGCTTTAGTTGTCTTAAGTATTCATGGGCAAGCGGCGGATGGTTGGGACTCTGGAGTTTCAGCTAGGGCTACAAGAGCTTCTCCTTGGAAAATCATTCATGCCATACTTCCTTCTTTCCTTCCTTTAATCAGGTATGATATGTGCTCTGGTAACCTAGTGAAATTTTGGGATCATGTTTGGGTGGGAAGCACTCCGCTGAAAGAGCTTTTCCCTTGTATTCTTTATCACGTTTTAAAAATGAGCCAATCTCCACTTTTTTTACCACTTCTAATTCAACCATTGATTGGAATTTGGGTTTTAGAAGGGCCCTTAGAGACTCGGAACTGAACCTCATTGCTGACCTGCTAAAAATCCTCGAGGAGGTGGATATTGACTCCCTTAGGAGGGATAGTAGGATTTGGGCTCCTTCTCTTTCGGGTGTCTTCTCATTTTCCTCTTTCTTCAAAGAACTGGCTCATTCCCCACCTGTCTTTGGAATCCCTTTTCCAGTTTTGGAAGTCTGGGGTAGACCAATTCCTCCCAGAATTAGTGCCTTTTGTTGGGAAGTTTTCCTTGAAAAGTGTAACACTTGCGACTTACTCCAAAGAAAAAGGCCTAATTGGTGTTTATCCCCACACTAGTGCCTCCTTTGTAAGAAGAATGGTGAGACTTGTTTTCACTTATTGGTTTCTTGCCCATTCGTTTCAGAAGTCTGGTGTTGGTTTTTCTATCTTTTTGGTTGCAGGTGCACCCCCCTCCCCCTATTCCATTCTACTACTGTTAGGGGGCTGAAGAAGAGAGAGAGGGAAAATTCTGTGGAGGTGTGTAAGAGCAGCTATATGTTGGACACTCTGGGAGGAAAGGAACCAATGGACCTTTCATAAGAAAGAAAGAAATAAGGGTGTAATCATTGAACTAATTTCTATGAGGGTGATTCATTGGGTTAAGACTTTGCAAATTTTTGAAAACTATTCAGAAGGAGATATCATCAGGAAGTGGAGAGAAGTGGCTTGGTCAGCTCCAAGGAAGAATGTATCTTTCCCAGTTTGGTCCCTTCCAGCTTCAGGGTTCACTAAACTAAACTTTGATGGTAGTAGCGAAGGAAATTCAGGCCTGTCGGGTAAAGGGGGAGCTTTTAGGGATGATGAAAGTTGAATTATCGCTTTGTATTCTGGTTCTATTGGATGGGGGGACTCTCTTAGAGCTGAAATATTGGCTGTTTTGGAAGGGTTAAAAAGAGCTCAAGAGTTAAATTTCAGAAAACTGATAGCGGAAGGTGATTCTAAGTTGGCTATAAACTGGTTAATGAAGGATGATTCTAGTTTGTGGAAGTTTCTAAATGAAAAGAAGAAAGTTAGACATCGCATACAAAATATGGAAGTCAAGTTTCAATGGACTAAGAGGTGCGCCAATTCCTTGGCAGATTCATTGGCCAAACAAGGGGTGGGAAGAGTTAATTTTTTCTAGGGAATATTGTAATCTGAACTGCTTTCTTGGGAGGGTTAAGAGTTTTTACCCCTCTTTTTGTATCTTTCCTTTTTTTTATATCAATAATTTTTAATTGTATTATTATTATGAAAAGTTACAGGGCAAGGGAGCTAAACAATCTTAGCTCCTGGGAGCAACCATTAAACACCAAAAAAACGATTACAATACAGCCCAAAATATAGAATTTCTGTTCACCCCTTGTCTAGCTAGACCATCTGCCAATGAGTTCGCACTTCTTTTTACCCATTTGTATTGAATTTCCATGTCCTTAGTCAGCCATCTAAATTTCCTCTTTTTATTGCTGTAATTCCAAAGTCTAAAGCTATCCTCTTTCAGCCAGTTTACCACCACTTCAGAATCTCCTTCTATGATCAGCTTGTTAATATGCATATCCTTGATTCTTTGTACCCTTCAAGAGCTGCAAGTATCTCAGCCCTCAAAGAATCTCCCACCTCTACTGGTCCAGAAAACATAGCTAACAGATTCCCTTGTTCATCTCTTACTACTCCCCCTATTCCGGATGGCCCTGGATTACCCATGCTGCTGCAATCAAAGTTCAGTTTAGCAAAGTCATGAGGTGGAGGGAGCCAACAAGAGTTTGAGGCCTTCTTTATCGGAACAAGTTCTGCTATCTCCTTCCATTTTCTTTGCAACTCATCAACTGAGAATTCTGCAAACAAAGCCAAGGTTTTCAGCCAGTGTATAACCCTAATATGGATGACCTCCAATATTGCTTCCAAACTTCTCTCCTTATCTGAGAAGATCCTTTTGTATCTTTTTTTATTAATATCTATTAATATAAGTCTTGTGTCTGCAACTGATTTCAAGCTAATAGATGATAGAGTTGATTACATATTGAATCATATTGGTATCTTGCTTATTGCCATGAAGGAAAGTAGTGAATGTTGCCGAATTTAGACCTAATTGGTCTTTATGTTAAGGGTTATAGACTGTATGTAATCCGGTTAGTTATTTCATGGCCTTTGGTGGAAAGGAATGGGGGCACAACCAATGGGTGCAATTAGGCAGATGAGAGGGTGATTATTTCTGTAATTAGAATTGTTTTTTTATTAGTAACTGAAAAACTTTATTGATAACAATGTTCAGAAAACCGGACTGGGCATTGAACTGAAAAAGGCATGGGTCAGAGGTTCAACTAGAGTCAAACCATGATGGCGTAATATATAATTATATTATGCTATAACATATATTTTTATTTTAGTTTCAATTTTTTATATTAAAAATTAAGATTTTATCTAAAAAGGACTTTTTTGGTAACTAAGTGGGGCAAGGTGCCTTGGAACATGTAGATCTCAAAAAGTTACCTAAAAAAAGATAACCCCAATCGGACAGTTGAGTGCAAAGTTATGGCCTCCAAAAGTCTGCATTTAAGTTAAAAAAATGAAAAAAAAATCTGGTTACACAAAACTTGGACTGGTTCACAGGTTGGACAAACTGGGTGGATGGTTTTAACCATTTTTTGGTGATAATGGTTTTAGGGGGTATGACTGAAGTCACCGAACCAGCCAGGGGCCCAATTCACAGTTTAACCAGTTTGACTGGCCAGTCTGGTCTGGTTTTCTAAACATTGATTGATAGCGAAAATATAATGTAAGGTATAATTGCATAGAAAAATACTTTTCAACCATTAAAGTTAGAGCTAGCCCAATTTTACCGTCCCCAAAATTCTAGCAGGTCCCAGGAAGAGTTGTTAATTCTTTATTGATGATTATATCAACACTAGTTTCCCTAGAACAAATCAACTAATTAAAATCTAGATACCATGTTTTGTTATGTAATGAAAGCTGCATTAAAGCATTTTTTTTTCCTTTTATAAACAGACTGTTGCACTTATTAGATGCAACACAAGTACATATTGTCATTCTTACTATGAATTGTTTCTGCTACTCCATCAGATTTAGTAACCTCATCTTATTTTCAGGTTAAAAAGATGGAAGAAGATGATCAGAGAAATCTTGATCAAGCTAGTGAGTTGACAAAGGGATATGAATATCATGCTGAAGGTGGCTTTTATAGTCCATACATAGAAAAAATAAAACTCTTTCTTTTGATATCACTAGTGAAAGATTTTTCTATCTAATAACTGGTGATAATATTATTGCAACCTTTGAATTGCTTTTTGCAAGTGGTGATATGTAATGAAAACCAAGCCGATATCCATGGCACTCTAAAAGCTTAATGCCTTTCTCCACCATTCCTTTGATGCTCCTCTTTTTGATTGGTAACATGTACTGTGTCCTATAAAAAAAGAAGGCATAAAGTCTACAATCTATATGCAGAAGGAGTAGAAGGCAAAGGAAAAATAAAGAACCTCCATGGCTTCATCAGTGTCAAAAAAGGCCTGTAAGGCTTTGGAAAAACAATGGAAGCCCAAGTATATGCACCCTCAAAACCCAAAAGGAATCAAAAACACCTAACTTGAACAATTCCCTTCAACAAGCTCCATAGCATTTGAGAGAATCATTATTATCACTTTGCCCAAGGTAAAAAAAAACTACAATCTGACCATAAGTAAGAACATATCAACCCCAGATACCCAACTAACAGGGAAGACAAAATACCAGTACTCTGAATAAGAAACATGTCAGAAATGTCATACGAAAATAGTCTAACAGTTACAGACATGGTAGAAACATTGTTAACAATGCAAAACTATATAATGATACTTTATGAAATGATAAAAGAAGCATAGATACCCCCTTTTTGATTATTATCTTCTTCCAAACCATCAAACAAAACCAAGAAACTGATGGGCAAAATAATATGCAGGGGAATTGTCCTGTATACTTAAAGAGTTAAAAATACATAGTTCAAGCAAAATTATTACTCATGGAATGTGGAAATGATTCTAATAGACCAACCAAATAATCTATTACATAAACAAAAACTAAGATTTAACATCATATCTAAAAATAATTTTTCTATCTGGCTTCCTGGCTGAAGGTGGTTATCATCTCCATTAGGCAGGTGATAATACCGCTGCTCTACATATCTGCAACATCATTGCCAACTAATCATTATAATACCATCTCATGTTTTCCACATAATGCTAGTAGTTTTCTCCAGAGAATATGTTGATTCTAGTTGTACCTTGTCTTGGTACCTATGGAAATGGAAACATGTTGATATTTTAAGCTATGCTACTTCTCTGCTGATAGAATCTTCTTACTGCACAATTTACCATTCACTTAAGGATGGCCATTTGATGTTATTGTGGTAAAATTTATTGTTTCTAGCATTGTGCTGCTAGTTATAGTATTTGGTGCCAAAATGCTTATTTCTGAAATGAAACTTCTGCATGTTGTGACAGGGAGTGCAAATGAAAATATGCCATCGGAATGGTGGGGCCATAAATATGGATTTGTCTCAGGAGGTTTTCTTGGAGCAGAATCTAGAGCAAAAAGGACCTTAACGTCTGACAATCCTCAATACTGTGACAAGAGGACTGCATTTGTTGAAGAAGATCAAGAGAATCTTTACAAACTAGTCCAGGTACTTTTCCTTTTTGTTGGTCTGAACTACATGACATAGGATATCTTTTCAAGAAATAGTCTTGTTTTATATAAACTAAGCAAATTTACCTACTGGAATGTGTATATATACTTGTGTTATGATATGCATAACTGCATATGTTGCAAGCTAGTCACAAAGTGATGAAATACGAGATAAATTCTGACCAAGCACTGAACAAAATTTTATTTGTTAAGGCACTGAAGAAACCTAAGGATGGTCTTTGAAATGTTTTAAATAAGGAATCTGTTAAACTAAAAAAACATAGAAATATATATAAACTTGTTTCTCACGTATATATTATATTGAAGGCTCAGATGATGATGACAATATTGTTTTGGGTTTAAAGAGTATCTGTTTCTTATGTGTATCTATATATGAAATTGGTGAATTAAGCACTGGTGGCAGTCCATGCCCTTAACATATACCTAATTTTCCAATGAAAAGCTACCTGAACTATTGGAATTTTTCTTTTTCTTTTTTAATGATAACAACCAAGGAGGAATATATGTTAATGTAAATATTATGAATTGAGTACAAGCCCCTGTTTCAAAACCAGCACCATGGGCATCTTAACCTAACAAGAGGCTCCTTTACACAACGTATATAAATACTAGAAGAATTACAAAAGACATCTATACCACTTCCTCCATTGTCAAGCTGTTGGCAATTGATCTTTGATATGATAACTAAGGCCATGTTTGGTTCAACTCTCATTCTTGCTCATTCTTTCCAATAATCAAATTCTTGAATGGACAAGAATGGGTAGAAATGGGCGGAATGAGAAAATATGGCTATGAACCAAACGCTTTTTACCAAAAATGATTTCCTTTTTTTGGCAAGAATGAGTTTTAGACGTGTTTAGTTACAAATTTAATTTTCATTCATTTTTTTTTCATCAACCAAAATAATAATATAGGTATACTTACACTACTCATTAGCAGATATATAGTGGAAACATGCAAGATCCACACCACCACCACCACCATCATCATCCATGCCTTGTGCCAACTCTATGGGGTTGGCTACGTGAGTCCTGTTTTGCCGATCCATTCTATTTATAGCCATATCAACAGGTAAATTATTAGTGCTTAAATCATTTCATACTACTACCCATGTCCTTTTTTGTCTACCCCTAGCTCTTCTAGCCCCTTCCACTTGTAACAAATAACTACTTCTAACTGGAGCTCTTGGTGGTCTTCTATGCACATGACCAAACCAAACTATCTTAGTCTTCTCTTTCTCATTTTAGCACTTATTGGAGCTACTCCTAGGTTTCTATGGATGGCTTTTCATTCCTGATCCTATCCTTTTCTAGTTTTTCCACTCAACAAAAGACAAATCAACCATGTGGGCCTCACACATGGTTCAAAGTATCAATATGCCCTTGTGTATCAGTAAAGGCATATCAATACTAAAAACTTGCACTTATATATCTATATCTATCTATATATGTATATGTATATACATATATATATATATTAGTTTTTTTTTTCAAAATTTGGTTTTTGGGTAGGTTTTTATATGTATTTTTTATATGATACAATATGATACTATTCGCCCGATACAGGGTGTACCGTATCGAAATTTTGATCCTTGGCATCACATCAATAACACAACATATAAAAAAGAAAAAAAAAGACAAGAAACTAGAAAAAAAACTTTTGCATTTGGTTGCATAGAGGAAAATAAAAGAAAATTTAAAGGAGGCAATTAGTACCTATTTAAAACTAATTAAAATGAAATTAGTTTGCTGAATTGACTAGGCAATTGTGCAAATGAACAATAGAGCTTGGGAACTTCCAAATAGAAATTGTAAAATTAATAACATGAAGTACAAAATGTCTAACAATTTCATCAAATCGATAATAGTATATTTAATAAAGATAATATATTAAGAAAGTAGTTTAACTAAGCAAGGGTGCAAAGAGCACAGCTGTTTTGGGCACAATTGTAATTTGGGTTGGGTCAGCTTTCTAAAGCTGGATTTCACAATGTATTGTTGTATCTGTTTTTCTTCTAATTAATGGAATCTTTTCTCTGTTGCTGATAAAAAAAAGAAAGATAATATATTAAGAAAGTCATGATATATGGTAAAACGTCATATAATCATGTGCTCATTTTTCATTCTTCAAAGAAGTTCTGTGCCAGCAGTCATAAACCACCAGCATAGATTTTTACCAGTGGTCATGTCCATTGGCATACGTTTTCATGACAGCAGTGAACGATGGACAGTTGGCCGCTTGCTTTCCGCCAGTAAAAAAATCTAGGCTGGCGGTTTTTGAGATGTAGGCCAGCAGTTATGACTACTGGCATAGAGCTTCTTTGAAGAATGAAAATGAGCAACATGGAGCACTATTATTTTTAATTCTGCAAGTTACCTCAATTTTTGTGCCATGGACTCTTTTCATTTTAAAATGAATGAGGCCTATGGCAAGAATTTTGTAACCAAACGCTCTCATGTAATTCATTCTTGCCTAGAATGAGTAAGAATTGAAAGAAAAAGGCCCATGGAAGTGAACCAAACATGAAGCCTCTGTAGTTCTGTGTCCTCTAGCATGTTTTCATATCCAATCAATGATAATAGAAATCTCCTGAATTAGGCACTTGTGGCCTAAAGAACAAGATAGTGGTGATCTATGAGATGCAGTTCTGCGGCTTCTGCCCTCGTTGAGCCACCTGAATCCACAGGTTTGAAAAGTAAGTGATTAACCAACTCTGAACTACCCCACTTCCTTGCAAGGGCAATATAAATGAGGTGATGATGCTCCATTTGCCATTCTTTTGAAGCAAATCATGTATTGACTTTTTTATTTTTTGATCAGCAAAAGTGATTCTATTAACAAGATGATAATGGATTTAGTAAAGAGAATGAGTAGCCTTGGCTACCCTAATAATCTTTAAAATTCCACCTAGGACTTGCTTTACATCCTTACACCTGAGCCCCAAAGCAATGTTCCCTATTAGCCCCTTGCTTCGCTAGCTGGTCCGCAAATCCATTTGCTGCTCTTGGAGTCCACTGATATAATATTTGCATATCCTTTGTAAAATGAATTATTTTCTTGATCTCATTTCTGAATACCCATGGAGTCTTCCCATCTTGCTTTAGCCAGCTTATAACTACTTTGGGGTCGCCTTCTACCACCAACTTCCTCACCCCTATTTCCATGGCTTTTTGTATTCCGAAGACCACTGCTTTCAGTTCAGCTGTAATGGAGTCACCCCTACCAATCGGGACCAAGTACAGCCCCACCATTGTTCCCCTGTCATCTCTTATGACCCCACCAATTCCAGCCACAACCGGGTTGCCAAAGCTGTTTCCATCAAAGTTTAGTTTGAGGAGTCCAGATTCAGGAGGATCCCAACTTCTTAGAGCCTTCTCTTTTGCAGCTGACGAGGATGCTACAGTCCTCCAGTTCCTGATTATGTCATCCATAGTAAAGTCTGAAAATAAGTCCATAGGTTTCACCCATGAGATAACTCTCTGATTTCTTTCCTCCCATAACATCCACAGTACTGCTGCCCATGTGCATCTCCACAGAGTTCTTCCTCTTCTTTTTGGTCATCTGAAGGTGGAGGCTTCAAACAGTCTTCCCAATCTCACCGGGGTATCCCACCTGCATCCAAAGAGAGAAAAAAACCAATCTCAAATGTTGCTAGCTACAGGACAGGAAATAGATATATGAAGAGCAGTTTCACCATTTGATTCATACAAACAACACCAATTAGGTGAAAGGCACCAACCAGGCCTCTTCCTCTGCATCAGATCACAAGTGTTAATTGCACCATAGTAGACCTCCCAGCAAAAAGCACCCACTTTAGGGGGAACAAGTCGACACCAGACTCTCAGACTGGGATTTGGACCCCAGGGTGATTAGAGGTCAAAGTTTTGAAAAAGGACGCACAACTGAATGCTCCAAGGGGATTAGGAATCCAGATTCTAGTATCTGGCTTGGCAGGATCAATGAAAACCCCGTCAAGCAGCTGAACAATAGAAGACACCAAATCCAACTCAGAATCTCTCACATTTCTGCGGAGACCCAAATTCCAAGCAAAACCAGATTGTGAAGGAGAAGGGGACAGGAAACCAGCAATTGGATTACCCTTAGGGCAAGACAGGTCATAAATTGATGGGAATAAGGTCTTTAAAGAATAGTCACCCACCCATACATCTTACCAGAATTTAACTTTGATACCTGAATTGAGATCATACCTGACATGATTGAGAAACAAAGGTAGGATTTTGTGAATCGCTTTCCAAGGAGAAGCGCTGGAAGCCCTGTAAGACACTCTAGCATCCCAACTATTCCCAGAGAGCCCATGAATGCTAGTCACAATCTTGTGCCACAACCTGTTTGTTTCCTGTGGGTATCTCCATAACCACTTTTGTAGTAGAGCCTCGTTCCTTTCCTTCAACCTTCCTAACCCCAAGCCTCCAAACTCTTTCCTCCTAGATACTATGTCCCACCTCACTAAATGATCTTTCTTCATCTCTCCCGGTTCTCACAAAAAGTCCCTCATTATTTTCTCCAATCTCTTCCCTATAGCTTGAGGCATGCTAAACATCGAAAGGTAATAAACTGGAAGGTTTACTAGGGTAGACTTAATGAGGGTAATCCTTCCCCTCAGAGAAATGTAATTCCTTTTCCACGCAGCAAGTTTCTTTTCAAACCTTTCCACAACTGGATTCCAAAAATCTATGCATCTGGGATTTGCACCAAGGGGGAGGCCTAAATACTTGAGTGGCCAATCACTTCTTAAACATCCTAATTCCTCAACCCACAAATTAACATCTTGTGCTAGATTAATCCCTGCCACCTGATTCTTATTAAGATTCACCCTCAAATTTGTCACTTTTTCAAATAGTTTATCAACATCCTAAGATTTCTTGCTCCTACCTGATCTCCAGCCTTGCAAAAAATAATGGTCATCCAGAAACTGTAGATCAGTTAACACTACCCTCTCCCTCCCAACTTTCCAGCCCTTTAACACCCCCATCTCCTCTGCCCTTGAAATCAATCTACTAAGGACCTCAGCTAATATGTTGAAAAGGAAAGGAGATAAAGGGTTCTCACTCCTCGTCGGGCACCAACGAAATTCTTGACTGTTCCATTCACCAATACTGAGAAGTTAGAAGATTGTAGGCACCCTTTAATCGATTTACACCATCTTGCTCCAAACCCACACTTAAAGCCTCAACTAGGAACTCCCAGTCCACCAAGTCATAGGCTTTCTCTAAATACAGCTTGCATACAATGCCCTTCCTTCCGGCTTTCTTGAAATCCTCCACACATTCATTGGCGATGAGTATTTGATCTGAAATTTGTCTATCTTGAATAAAGGCCCCTTGGAATTGAGAAATGATTGATGGGAGGGCCTTTTTTAACCGTAGTGAGAGGACTTTTGCGAGGATTTTATATTGACTTGTCACCAAGCTGATTGGCGTAAAGTCCTTGGGGTGGCAAACACCAGATTTCTTGGGAATCAGCGCAATAAAAGTGGCATTAACCCCTCTACTAACAATCCCCTTATTATAAAACTCCTCAAAGACATGCATTAGATCATCCTTTAACCACTCCCAACAGTCCTGGTAGAAAGCCATAGTGAATCCATCAGGCCCGGGAGCTTTAGAGCGATCCATAGAAAAGATTGCTGCCTTCACCTCATCTACCTCAAATTTTTTCTCCAAACTTCTACTCACATCATCTTCTAGGGCTGGCCAGTCAAGTCCTTCCATCTCCCATCTTCCTGAAAGAGGCCTTCTAACCTCCTAACAGAAGACATTACTCCTATTATCTGAGAGCGGATCTACTCTTTTTGTCTCTTATTTTTCCTTGTATATGCGTGTGTTACCTCGGGGGGGGGAGCTTCAAAAGCAACTTAAGAGGGGATAGGGTCGTGTTGGTGTCTCCATTAAAGGGGAATAAAGAAGGAAGATGACAAGAAAGTTCCATTAGGTTCCAAAACCCAAGCTGACTTTCAGAACCCTGTTGAAAGATGAAAGCCTCAAAAAGGCACTTCAATAGATTGGTGGCAGAAGACTGTCATCTTGAAAGCATTTTCTCTATGTATGATGTTTCCTTTATTTCTATTTTATTAGTGTTTTATTTCTTTTCATTTTTATTTTTCTTTTTTTTCCTGGGAAGGGGGTCTTTCTGCTGTCTCTGGGGCTCTGATACCAGTGAAATTTCATGCGAGCTCTCTAACAGGTCCCCTTGAGGGTGATGGTAAACTATGGCACATTCTTGATGATAAATACATCAACAGTTGGCAGTATACATGTTATGTCGTGGTGGAAAATCTCATGCCTATGAGTTGAAAGCAGATGAAAGAAAAGCATAATTTGGAATGTACATCTACATCATAAAGTGTTCAATGCTATTTTTCTTTCTTTTGCAGGATAAGTCCACAACTGGCAAACAAGGGTTGGGCATTAAAGATCGTCCAAAGAAAGTAGCTGGCTGCTATTGGAAAGGACAGAAGACATCTTTTAGTGACAGTGATGAGGATGATTCTGCTGATGTTGGTTCTCTGGTGAAAAGAAAACACAGTGAAGTGATTGAGATGGAAGGGAATGGTGAACCAAAATTGAAGTTGAAAAAGCTATGTAAACAGCTTCTTCGTGAGGTGCTCATTCAAAAACTGCAGTCTTGTTTCTGAAAAAGTGAAGGTTGTTTTTTATCACTGACTGACTACTCATCACAGGTTCCAGATAAGTCGCTTAAGCTAAAACAGCTTAAGGTACTTATTGATGAACATTCAGCTTCTATTTTCTCTAGCTTCTCTTCAAAGCGGGATGCCATCTCGTACTTGAAACGAAAGGTATGACTCTGAAGCAATTGTTTGATTCATGGCAAAAGATTTGAATACTTAAAAAGCAGTACCTCCTTTTCTCTTTAATTTCTGAACTCAACTGATTTTACTTAATGATCATCTGATGTGATAGCAAATTAGCAATGAAAATGATAATCTGTTATAATGGAGCAGAGCCCCCTCTTCCCTATAAATGGTAGAATTTATTACAATTTTAAAGCCTATACAGGCTAAGTTGATAATAAATTCAGAGGAACCCCTAAAATACTCGAGCAATAATTACTTTTGGCATCTTCAAAACGTTTTAAATTTATATGAACAATGATTTTTGCAATTGCTCTTACTGGTCTTCTATGGTCAATCACACCAAGTGAATTTTCTTGACCATCTGATAATGGTGACTTTTAGGGTGGTGCTTTGTTTTGGTCAAAAGAAGGTAGGTTGGATGCACACGTCACCCAATTGTGCTGATTTTTTGTTAGAATCTTGGCTTCTACTGATATTTTTCACTCTTTCATGTTTGGCAAATATTAAGAAATCATTGGCATAAAGATAAAAAAAACTAAGACCATTAATAGAAATCTAATTATGGGCCTACAGAAAAAAAGATGTAGTTATGGATAATCCTGATGTTGAATTGAGGAAGTGGACTGATTAGTAGAATTGGTTAATTGGGTCTGTTTGGTATATAGGGTGTGAATCGTGTGATGGGCAAGTTTGTCCTTTAGGGAAACCGGATTCAGTCAGTGCAAGGCCTGTTCCAACAACCTGAATATCCTTACATTGGGAATATCTCCCCATGAAATAAAACACAAGTATGGAGATGTTCCCAATGCAAGGCTGTAAAGGTTGTTTGAACGGGTCTTGCATTGACTGAAGCCGATCTCTCGTTTAGGTTGTTTGATGTAGTTGGCGGGCATTTTGGGTTTTTTAATCTTTGTTTTTTCCTTCAGGTGATATCTTATTATATTTTCTCCTTGTATTCCTTTTTTTTTTTCTTTTCTTAATGAAATTTCCTTTTTTACCATAAAAATCTAATTATGGGCCTACTCAAGGTTCAAAATATCGATATGGCTGATATGCCGCTCACTTCTCTTATTGTTTTTAGTTTTTTCAAACCTGGTTCAGAGGGGTTGGTTTAAGGCCTGTTTACCTCCTGAACTGGGTTAAACCCCAAAACACCCCCTGTAGGGGTGTATCGGGAATCCCCCGATACGATACATACCGGCTGATACAGCAAGATACATATCGAAGTTTCGAACCTTGGGCCAACTTGGTAATGTGATATTGACATTCTTTTTTCTTTTTGTTGGTGCAGTTAGAAGGAAGTCAGAAGTTTTACGTGGTCGGGAAAAGAGTGAGTCTTTCATCAAAGAGAGACTGAAAATTTTGTTGGGCATTGGCAAGCGTGTAACGATCTGTACATTGCTACCGAGGCAGTGATGCTGAACGAAGACCATTTACTATTTATTATGCTGTTCATTTGCATTTGGTAGGTCAAACATGGATTTGGAGATGTGGTTGCTTAAGTTATAAAAACTTTGCAGGGTAATAGCAATATTCTCAGGTCATATACGAGTTTTGGTAGGTCAAATGAAAATTTGGAAATCTTATGATTGATTATGTTATTAGCGGTAAAGTTTTTTGTTATATGGTAATGACAAATTTCTTTCCGGTGACTCGTGATCACCTTGGTGACTTGTGAATTTGCCGTGTAATGTGGAAGCACGTCCAAATCCCATAAGGGATAATTAATTATTATTTATATATAATCCTTAGTAGTTTTAAAATCTACTCAGTAAGATAACCCCACATAACATAAATAAGCCATCGCTTATATATAATCCTTAACAAAACGTTAAGACTTTACATGCCCTTTAAATTTCATTTTTCTCCTTTCTTTTCTTCATTGCCTTCTATCTCCCGATCAATTGAACTAGCTTGAGGCAACACTCTCCCTCCCTCACTCTTAAAACTTCCATTTATTAAATAAATGTTTGTAATTGATTTGTCTTTAAAACCGAGAAAAAGTATTAACCGTTGGGGAAGTATTAAAACAAAGCTTCCCTAATGGTTGGCGTGCACATAAATCAAGATCAACTTTTATCAATACTTATATATACGAATAGGCATGATGGAATAAATGCTGATTTGTGATAGCATGACACCGTTTATGAAATAAACAAACTTTACCAACCACTGCCAAAAAAATTGGGTTGTAAAATCATTTGTTCACTCTGATCTTGATTCTATGATGAGGTGTGTTGGCCTACAAAATTAACTTTGGTTTTCAGTTTTGAAATGTCAGAGGTACCTTGTTTCCAATTACTGCCGGTGTTTTTGCTCTTTTTGATGAGCAAATTACTGCTATGTATTTTTGACAATAGCAGGGTATTTTATTGATTCTCCTTCCATTATGAGAGATTGGATCTGCTCCTCACACATGGCATCTCACATCGATTTCAAAGGCACATCCCACCAAGGTTTTTAAAATCGAATCGAACAACGAATTGATCAGGGGTCCGGTTATTAGGTCGAATGGTTTGACCTTTTGAACTAAACGAATGGCCCGTTCTGACAAATAATTAAAAAAATTAAAAATTTAAAAAAAATGGCCAAACTGTTGAACGATTTGAATGGTTTGACCACCTAAATCAGTGGTTTTTTTACCAAATCAACAGTTTTTGGGGAAATAACGATTCTGGGGTAAAATGGAATCGATCACCTAACCGGTTCCTAATTTTTCTGGTCCAACCATCTGATTTGATCTAGTTTTGAAAACCATGCATCCCACCATGCATTGGGAACATCTCCCATGTACCCTTGTGTACCCTTGGGTACAAGGGAGATGTTCCCAATGCATGGTGGGATGTGGCTGAGGTCGTTGTGTGAGGCCCTATGTGAGGAACAGATCCCAATTCCCATTACAACATGGTAAAAGAGGGGTTCAGGTACTTATGGCCGTAGACTCTCAGAAATGCAATCATTTCGTTTGCAGAACTTGTATGGCATTTTATAATATTAGGGATTTTTGGACTGCAATCCCCCTTAGAAATTGAATTTGCAACCCCTTCCTAGTCTATATAGCCCCCCTCCCCCCTATAAACTGCATCTTGCCCTTGAATTTGGCATCAATCCATGGGTAGGATTCAGTCCACCCCTAGTCTACTAGAAACTCCACCTAGGGGTGGATTGAACGGTAAAAACCCCTTTATATTATTTAATTTGTAGTTTACCAAGATGCGGGTGTCAAACAAGCTATATCATTTGCGTCAAACCCGAGCCTAGCCGACCCAGCCCACAATTTTATGTGGATTAGACTTGGATATTCAGTCTAAAGTTCAGGCTTTCTTTTTTTTTTGTTATTTTTTGGGCTGGCTGGCCCAACTTATTCCCCTACTGCTCTTAGTAGAGATGGAAGAAGGGAAGAAAGAGGAGGCAATAGGGCTCAACATTTCAAATAGGGCATGTTTTGAAAATTTAATGAACAGTTTGAAAGGTTTAATTTATCCTTTTTATCTATTAACATTTGAAGGTCAACAAGGTATATACAAGTAAATCTTGAAACTACATGATATAAGTGATTTCCTCAAACTTCATAGTATACATATTATCCCATCCCAAAATATACCAAAAGAACAAGGTCTAACTAACTACACATTATCTATCAATGAGCATGGGCCTTAACATTGCTTATAAAAAATTGAAAAAAAAACTGAACCGAACTGAGAAAACTGAATCGATCAATATGGTTAATTTGGTTTTGATTTGGTATTTTTGAAAAACCAGAGGACTAGTTTAGTTTTTAGTTAACCTAAAACAACCAATGGTTAACCAAACCAGCTGGTATATATACACTTTTCTTCATATTAATTACTTAAATTTTAGATCTATCATAGTTAAGATAGATATTGAAAATTAACAAAAGTAACAATATGATTAATAATTAAACTTAAATATTTATTATTCAATTATGACATCATGGATTTCTTTGAAAAGTTGGATCATTGACCCACCATCTAGATAAGAAAATAACATTGCTTTTGGATTAGTTTTAAATTAAGGAAAATTATAGTTGGAACTGCTTGTACATTTAAAATTAGGCTACAAGTTGGTCCATAAACCAACAAAACTCTAACAACTGGCTCTACATTTCAAATTATAAAAACCCTCACCATGTCATCGGAGGCTTATGTGGTTATTACCAATATGAGACTTATAATCCATATTGGACACAACAAAAGGCTTATACTAAAATTGTCTTTTAATGTTGGGTGATTGGAAAATAAAAAAAAAGGGTTTTTAGTTTCTCTTTCTCTCTTCCAATCTCCCACACACTCTCACTCACAATCATCTTTATCTCCTCAACGACTATGTGATTTGAAAATAAATAAAAATGGTTTTTGGTTTTTGTATTTACGTTCTATATAACAATTTATCCCATTCTCTCTATCTACTTATCATTTTCCCTCAATATCTCTCATTCTCTTTCTTGGTCAATTTCTCCTTCTCCCTTAATTTCTATCATTCTCCCTTAGTTTTTCTCCCGCTCCTTCTCTCATTTTTCTTTTTATTTTCTTACGCACATGTATGGTATTAATCAAATCGTATAAAAGAACATGAAACCAACTTTTTTTTTTCGCTTCATGGGGCTACACAACAAGGGGTAGCCCATCCCCTTTCCCTTAACCCCCCAACCCCTAGTGGCAGCGGGATTTGATCCTAGGTCTCTACACAACATGAGACCAACTTGGCATGGTTTAAAAATTATTACACCAATTTGATAAAAAATCACAAGAAATTCTTGGTATAAAATTTACACCAACTGGGGAATGATAGAGATTGAGGGAGAAGGAGATATTGACCAAGAGGGAGAGTAAGGAATAAGAATGAGAAAGATTGGAGGACAATATATATATATATATATATATATATATATATATATATATATATATATATAAGAGAGAGAGATGTTTTGATTTGGCTACAAACCAAAATTGAGATAGTGGGAGAGAAACTAAAATCCTATTTTCGGTATAGGTTTTTTGTTGTGTCCAACATAGACTAAGAGTCACATGTTGGCAATAGCCACATAAGCCTCCGATGACATGGTTGAGGTTTTTATAATTTGAAATGTAGAACCAGTTATCAGAGTTTTGTTGGTTTCTGGAACAACCTGCAACCTAATTTTAAATGTACAACCGACTTTGACTACAATTTTTCCTTTAAATTATATATTTCATTTACATTATATAAAATATTTTTTACTTCACACTTAAATTTTGTATTACATTTCCATCACTGAAAAAATTATTTCTTATTTATAAAACTTATTTTTGTTCAATATAATGAAATGCACAATATTAGAGATGTACCCCAATATTTTTATTTTTATAAATATATAACATTAGATATGTGCCTAAAATTTTCTATATCTTTTTTTTTTATTTTTTGTGATTCTCTATATTTTTTTATTATTAAAAATTTTATTGTTTGACTATGACATCATTTAATTTCTAGGTAGATTTTGAATTTGGCATTCAATTTTCATCATTAATAAAAATATTTCTTACACTTTATAGTTATTTATTTTAAATTTTTATTATTTAATTATGACATTATTTATTAATCCATTTGACTCCAAATGGCCGAATTGCTACCCACCACTGGGAGGGAAGAAAATAGTTTTATTTTCAAATTACTTTTCAAAATGGTTAATTTTTATACTACTAAAATTAATATTGTGGATTTAAATACAAGAATTTAATGATGAGAAAAATATATCTTAAGTATAGGATTTAATGAAGGAGAATAGGAAAATACTTCTATTTCCATTTGGTTTTAAATTTTACATTCCATTCCCATCATTAATAAAAACAATTCTTATTTATCATACTTATTATTGTTTAATATGTATGTTAAAAATGGTCACAATTTTTTTAATTTCTATTTTTTAATTTTATTATTTAGTCGTGACAACATGGATTAACCCATTTGACCCAAAATGATTTAATTTTTAGGAAAAGTATAAGCTTTTATGTTATTGGAATTATTAATTTATTAAGTATGGATTTAATTAATAGAACTTAATGATGAGAAGAAACAAAAATGACTTAAATATATGATTCAATGAACATGAATGAATTTTAATAACTTAAATGTTGGATTTAATGAAAGAGAATTGAATATCTTTAAATTACCTCTTTTCAACTCATTTAATATCAAGAACCAATTATCCTATTTGCCTTCATTTTTTATTAATAAATTTAAATATTGAGAGGTAAATTTTGTCCTTAAAAAATTCCAGAAATATTATTGAGGCCAGAAATATACTTTTTAAAGTAATATAAATATAGTATAGGGTCATTTACTAGAACACTCTTTATAGTTTCACAGATTTACTTAAACATACCTTATAGTATGCATTTTTCTAAAACACCCCTTATAATTTGCAACCTATTTACTTAGTCAACCTTTCATTAAGAACTATGTGTGTGTACCATATGAAAATAGTAACATGGTCACCTAAACTAAGTGGAAAATGTTCAAGGGTATGGACCCATGGTTGTTTATTCCAAAAGTACTAACACTTTTTTTTTTTTTTGTATAGAAAACAAAATTGAATTGACCAAATAGAGAAAAATAGAGTGATTGCAAACTGTAAGGAATGCTTTAATAAAACACAAACTATAGGGGTGTTTTTAGTAAATGGCCCTATAATATATTATAAATATGCATATTTATAACATATTATATATTTTATATATTTATACATTTATTTAAAATATATATATATATATATATATATTAAGAATATAAAAAACCAAGAAACTGAAGAACCAAACTGGTCAACCGATTTGATTTGGTTTGGTTTCAGTTTGGGGATTTTMAAAAACCGGTAATACCGGTTTGGTTTAGAAAAGCACCACTAAATTGGTTCTCATCATTTTCATGGTTGAACCTGAGCAACAGAAGAAACTCCCTTGGCGTCCGAAATAATATGCATAAGAAACTGAAGAACCAAACTGGTCAAAACCAAAACTGGTCAACCGATTTGATTTGGTTTGGTTTCAGTTTGGGGATTTTMAAAAACCGGTAATACCGGTTTGGTTTAGAAAAGCACCACTAAATTGGTTCTCATCATTTTCATGGTTGAACCTGAGCAACAGAAGAAACTCCCTTGGCGTCCGAAATAATATGCATAATTTTCTACTAAACGTACAATTCAATTGTATAAATGTACATATTTCATGCTGGTATAAGGGCTGCCAGGCTAGCCAAGCTTTTGCTCTGTTCAGTGCAGGGTTGTTGAACGTGAAGCAGGGATGCACGTTTTGTTCGCTATGTCTCTCTCTTGAGTGCATGATCCAACGTCTTAAAGGTGTGAAGATTGAAGAAACTTGGTGATGACCCTTTTATTTTAAGGTAAATTTTTTAAACTACTCTTATGGTTTAGCTAAATGACTAAGTGTATCTTTATTGTTTTAAAATTGACCAACGCTACCCCTACTATTTTTGACAACTGATTAATACTTCCCTTACCGTTTGCATCTATTATCTTTCTGTCAAAACCTGTATATACGTGAAATCACATGGTGTTTAAAATTCTTTTAAAACCCAATATTACCCCCTCCCTTGTCCCGAATTCATTTTCGAGAGAACCGAAAAACACTATTAATCATCCCTTTCAATTCTCGGCACAACGGCAGCGAACAGGCATTGACCCTCTCCACCTCTGACCAGGTCCCTTCCCCGATTTCTCTCTCTCTCTCTCTCCTCTTCCCTCTCTCTTTCCCCCTCTTCTTCTCTTTCTCCATCTTGATCTCTGTTCATCGTCTTCTTGACGGTGAATAGAGAACTACCACCGATGAAACCCTGTTGGTAGACCAGAGTTGTACAGTTCGACTAGGGTACAAAAACTTGAGATGCTAACAATGAGTCCTCACGATGATCTCAGCAATGGCCATGAGAGCCGATTGGCACATGCCTGATTTAGGTACAGAAACAACTGGAGAAAAAATCTACCCCCATCTCCTCACATCTCCACCTCGTCGGAGGACCAAACCAAAGAATTTAAGAGGCTGCTACATCCTAAATTGCTTTGCCTGCAAGGAGGCATCTCAACTGCAAACAGGAGTTAAGCGAAGGGACCTGCAACGTACTTGTAGTTGATTTACTGAGTGGGGACTTGTGTAGTGAGCCAAGAGGGCTGATTTACTGAGACGAGATCAGATCATCGTCTCAGAATAGCTGATGGGAGACTCGATAATGGTTTGAACGATGGAGCTCTGAATGGAGCAGAGTTCTGGGTTTCACGCTTGCTGTCTGGTCGAGGAGAAGATTTGGTATGCTAAGTCGCCACGACTGAGGATATAAAGGCATATTTTAGATGGGGAAACCGAAGGAGTTGGCGTCAATCAACAAAACAGGGGCCATATTTATATCGAAAAGCATGGAGATGGGGGGCTGAAATCACTTTGTTGCTTAGAGGACCCGAGATGGATGCCTTTCCTTCTGTATTTGTTAATGGTCTTAAGGGAAAAGGCTGTGTTGTACAGCTCTGGACTCTGAAACTTGCACAGTATGCGATTGAAGAGGTTTTCAATCGCCGCTTCCATCCATGGACCAGCTGTTTTCATCGATTGTATTGCTCTAACTCACTCACAACTCTGGACTGTGTCAATCGCCACTCTGGACTCTGTCATTTGTTGCTTTTCTTCTCAGAGTTCTAGAGTCTAGAGCTTACATTTCCTTTTCTCTCCTCCCCTCATCGGCAAACAAAAGTTCAAGGATTGAATAATGGATAAAATAGTTTGCAAACAAAGTGGTCAAGCCCCGTAACTACGATCTGCACGGAGAATTCACAACTCTATGCAAAGACCTGCCTGCCTTGAACGGCTCCAATCACCGAGGGCCTTCCGAAGAAGAGCTCCAACAGGGTTTGATGAACCAATGTTTCTTTCCCTTTTTTACTATTTTATTTTAAAATTTTGAAAAATAAAGGGTAAAATAGTCTTTTTGTCTTTCTGTTAACAGGCACTAACGATAAAGATAGTATTAGTCAATTGTCAAAAACAGTAGGGATAGCATTGGTCAATTTTCAACAGTAAAAGTACACTTAGTCAATTAACTAAACCATAAGGGTAATTTAAGAAATTTACCCTTTATTTTATCAAATCCAAGTGCCTATGCGTTTTTGGTGGAAAAGCTACCTTTGTTTTGATGTAAAAGTGAGAATTATTTCATTTACTTATCATTGAAAATAGGTGGTACCGGGTAGCAGCAGCAAGTGAAAACCTTCTGATAACTCAAGGTGCTTACAGTTATCACGCTTGTAGATTATATGAAATCAGAATAAACAAAACCTAGATAAGGTGAAGCTTTCCATGCCTTTACCACGCTTGGCTCGTGATGGTCCAAGACTCCAAGCTCATGAACTTGTTTGGCTCTAGGTGCTGATTTTACCATATCCGGAGTTCATTTCTTACCCACTAGATTCATTTAGTTATGAGTCAAAACAGAAGCGGACGACAAACCCCCAAGACCAAGAGGTTTGAGCTAAATTACTGAATTTACTTTTCATTGTTATTCTTTCTATTGAAATGATGCACAAGGCTTCAGAAAACATCTCTACAATGATGGGCAACTAGTTTGAAGTTTTAAGTTGCAAGAGACTAGATTGATTGGCTGCCCAAGATGCGGCATTCAGCTAGATTTTACATCCGCTGCCTATAAACAAAACCTATCCCTTATCCCTTCAAGGGAAGAGAACATAATCAGGAGATGGAACCAAGGATAACAGGGAAAGAAGAAATATATAGGTAGGGAGGTTACCCTTAGATGTAATCAGATTGTACAATTTTTGTTGCAATATACTTCCCCAAAAAATCATAACCATGGAAATGGAGTGATTCAATTTCTGCCCTTTGGCCACTCTGAACCATTAATGTCAACTCTTCCCTATAGTTTTCCTACGGGGTAAAAAGACCACATCAGAGAGCAGTTTCAGATCACAAAAAACAAAGGGAAAAAAAACAAGAACTCTCTCTCTTGTATGATTTAGGATGTATACTTTCAATAATACGAGAGGGCAAAGTTCAAATTGACCTTACCTGCAACATCTCAGAGGACATCAAACTTTGAGCAATTTGCAGGTCCCATGGCTTCAGCGGAATGAATGATTGTTCAGGTATAAGGTGTAAATCACACCCTCGCATACCCAACCACCTAACATTGCAAGCTGAAAAGAAGAGCAAAGAGTACATGGATATCCATAGGATTGATTTATGCTAACTTGTATTGTAGCCAGGATAAGGAAGAGTACCATATTTGTAGGCCTCCAAACCCATTGTTATACTTCCAAACTTGAAGGTACAAAGTATAGCCAGTCCTGATGGGTTCCTTCAAAATAAGAACAAATAAATAGAAACAGAAGTTGTGAGCACTAATAAAATATATGATGTGTGGCATGAAAAGAGGTCCTCATGGTCCACCAGTCAACAAGTGCAAAGATTGGAAGATCTGGAAGAGCCCGGGTCAATCGATGTAGAAGTACCCTGTTTGAAATTGTAGAGATAGGCTTCGATGAGTTGGAAACAACCAAGGGAATGAACACATTCATTGATCAAAAAATAAAAAAGAATGAATACATTGAAACACATCCTTTGGATATGAGAACTGTAGAATATCTAACTAATCCAATAGGAGATGCAATTGAGTTTATGCTATAAACCATATAATCTGATTAGAATTACCTCGTGGCAATGTCTGGATATCCCTTGGCTGTTATAATTATACTTGGGATCTGATTAAAAATCCGGTCCTCAGCCAACCTCTGGAATATAGCATGCTATAGAAATATAGAAGTCCTATGTAAGAACAGTCTAGCTCACATACATGGTGAAGGGAGTCAATTGCTCAAATAGAATTACAAGGGGCAATTTACCTTTTCCACCACAATGATGTACCTAGCATCTGACTTGATGACCAGATTCTCTAATGAATTCAAGTCACCGGTAATAGCATGTCCAGAAGATCCACAAGTAGAACAGTCAACAATCTCTTGATTTGGCTCCTTGATTCATGTTTTGGATTGAAAAAAATATCGAGTAAGCAGCTATGCATGAAACCTTACTATGAGGTTCAAACCTAACTAGCAACATCTAGTTAAAATGGGTTCATTAGTTATGACCTTATATGTAAATCAAATTTCTAGGAAACCATTGTCTCCAAAAAAACACAATTTTCATATTCAAAAAAAAAAAAACAGCATATGATATGGGGCATACAATCGACAAGCCAAGAGACTGAATTTAACCATCAATTAGGGAGTTGCTTGAGACAACAATTACTTATCTGGATCATATTATTATTGATAAGGTAAAAATATCATTTCTAAGGCTTCTCTAAGTTATTGGACATTTAAAGAACATGAGTGCTTACAGCTTACAAAAATCATGGCTTAGCAATATGGGTATAAAGCACCTGTATCAAAAAGAACATGGTATGTTTTTCTCTTTAATTTAATGCATTTAGGCAAAACAAGAAAAGAAATATATACCTGAAGAAACAAGCGGCCTATGAGAGCCCCTCTGCTAGATGCCATGATCCCAAGGCTGTAACGACTGCACCGGAGAAAGGCAACAACATCTGTGATGCAAATCACCAAATATCCCAGAAAGTTAAATAGCAAGATGGTGTTCTTAGGAAAGGAAAGGAATACCTAAGGAAAAGAAAACCAACAGGGAAAATTGCTAAGCAAACCATGTCCAGTGGGGCATTGACCTTGGATGGTTTTGTTAACTTGCAGCTGAGAAGTGAAGTAATCTGGAGAACTACAAAGCAACTTGTAAAAGAGCTCCCTCTGAGTGACCTTCTTCTCATGAACCAGAAGCTCAATGCAGATTTCCATAACTTTCCATACTGGAGTAAAATGATTCAGCAAAACAACTTAGGCTCCATTTGTTTCCAAGTAAAATAAGGAAACAGTAAAATTTTACATTTGGTTCAGTTTTGCATTTATTTGGTTTAATTTCATTTTACCCACCCACTTTAGAAGGTAAAATTTAACTCCCTAAATCATAACCTTACTAAAAACTAAGTACAATAATGATTCATTATTTAGAAGGAATTTTTAATGGAAGAATCCTTTTATTCTCTTCTTCAATCTCCTCCCTCACCTCTCAACTTGCAATTTGCATTTTTGGCTCTTGATCAATTGAACCAGCTCTATCACATCTTCAAAGAACAAAACCTCATATAATGTTTTCTCTAATCCATAACCCCACCTCAAAAAAAGCCTAGACGTTATCTCAGATCTGAGGGATCTTGCCTCATCCCATTTTATTTCATCAATCGGTGCATCCATCTCTCTTGGTCCAAGCTTATCATGGAAATTAAAGGTGAAGATCTTAAGACCATTTTTGTTAGAAATAATAAGATACCATTTTTGTTCCTTAAAAACATTGTAATTAGAAAGCAGTATCTCAACAAACATTAAACCAATACATAAAGTCTGATAATGGCTACTATTGCAAAATAGAAAACCATTAATTGTTATGGAAGTGTTATCTTTTGACACTGTAATGGTCTATGAAAGTTATGAGCAGAAGCTCAAGGATACAAGTAGTTCTCCAACTCAAGACTTTCCATTTCTTCTAAGCTCGTACTACTAAGAAATGTAAATTAGGAGCAATCAGATTTTTCAAACTTGGTTTTCATTAATAGATAGAAACATTTAAACCTAGCATAAGGGTTCTTTAATGAAAGGCTTTTAAGAAGACTGGACTTAACTTACCAGACAATATATGATGATGGAACCATGTTTGTCACCAAACAGGAAAAAAGATTCTTTCTCTAACAATAATCTGAAAATTGAGTCTAACAACCCAGACCCTACACATTCTGTGGTGCCTGCTCAATCCATGGTCCATACTTTACAACAGAATAATTTTGACAGTGCCCTTAAGGCTTACAATCAAGATTGAGTCATTTATGAATGACTGAGTTAAATTCTTATCTAGGTGAGGTGAAATGGGTCATTAAATTATAATTGTATTACTGTTATCTTTTGATTCTCTAAAATTTTTAATTTCAGTGGCATACATCCAAAATTCCAAATAGTGAAGTGCCCCACTCCACATCATTCTAGAAAGCAGTGTAAAATTTTTTATGGATGCCATCAAAAGTGGAAAATTTTTCATTATTTTTTTTTATAAATGAATTTTTTCACTATTCTTTTTGAGCTAAAAGGTAACAGATTTCACTATTTTTTTGACCAATAACAGAAAGCAATTTTATTAATGAACATTAAAAAGATACAAGATGCTACAAGAAACAAGGGGAGAGGTAAACTCTCTTAACCCTCCCCAAAGAAACAATTCAGGATTACAACAGTGCCCAAAACAAGCAATCTCTTTCCACCCCTATCAGCAATGGAATTAGCACTTCTCTTTACCCACTGCAGATTTATTTCCATATCCTGGGTCAGCCACTTAAACTTCCTTTTTCATTAAAATAGTACCAAAACCCGCTTTCCTCCTTTTGCATATAACCAATTTTTAATCACCTTTGATAATCAACTTTCTAATGTTTAGCTCCTTTGCCCTTTGTATGCCTTCAATTGCCGCCAAGACCTCTGCTTTAAGTGAATCACCTATTCCAATAGACTGAAAAAAAAAGCAATAACTTTCCCTTCTTCATCCCTGAAAACTCCTACACTTTAAGGACCTGCGCTTCCTTCACCGCTTCCATCAAAGTTCAACTCAGTGAAACCATTAGTTGGTGAAGATCATGAAGGACTAATCGCAATTTTGAGGGGTGCTGAATTTGCCACTTCCTTCCAATTTCTAAGCAGAACATCTGTATGATATATCCTTGAAATTTTTTTCATTATTTTCTAAAATAATGTGGAGTAGGGAACTTCACTGTTTGAAATGGATGCCACTGAAATTGAAAATTTTACATTGTTTTTAAAATAATTTGGACTAGGACCCACATAAGGTGGTGCACATTTCAATATTTAGAAGAATGCCATCAAATTTTATAATAGAAAAATTATCTTTATTTTTTAGAATGATGTAGAACAAGTCACATTAGTAAGTGGAGTGTGGGCAGTTGGGGCTGTTTGCAAGAATGGCTTGGGTGAAAGCTTTGGGCTCTTTGAAGTTAGTTTATGTTTCCCAAAGGATTTTAAATCTCTCTTGTGGTGTTGGCAGTTCAATGGTTTGTCCAAGAAAGAGTCTTATGGGAACTGATTCCACCAGCAGTGATTTGGACAGAGAGAAATAGGGATTTTTTTGAAAATAAACACAGTACAGTAGATATAATATTAAAAGGCTTATGGGGCAGAATTTACTCATGGGCAGCAATTCACAGACAGCTAAGGATATACCTTTCATTTCGTTTTTTTTTTTTTTTTTTTTTGATAATATGATCTTTTTGTATCTAGATTCTAGATCTGCAGTGTAATCAGCTTCTCAGTGTTTTCCCCTTTGCAATTTCTTTTTTGAACAGGGGACAGGGCCTTGTATATTTTGTTCAGTTTCCTATAATAGATTACCTTTTCTCACAAGAAAAAAAGTGTTATGGGCTTCATCATTTTTTAGAATGATGCAATGGTGCCACCTCAATATGTGGTATGGGTTTTGCCCCCATAGAAGTGAGGTGCCATACACTATACCTGTAATTAGCGTGTAACTAGCGGACCGGTGGGTTGGATGAGCTGAAATGTACTGTGTCCGGATGGACACGATATGTTAATAACGAAACTACGCTAGGCACATCACAGTTTTGTGCAGATTGTTTTTGAAAATTTCCATATATATTGAGGGCATGTTGCACAAAACTGTTTTGTGTTTTTGTATTTTTGTAACTACCGTCCTAGCAGAACCGGATATGAAATGCATGCAGGCCCATTGTCAATTTGGCATACACAATGCGGAGAGCCTGCATTTCTGGAGGTTCATCAATGGCAATGGGACTCGCCGACTGGGAGGGATGACCTCATAGATTAACACTACATGGTCATTGGCATTTAAACAAGTTCTCATTATGTGTATATGTTTTACATCCAAACCTTCAATTCTATATTCCTGGATGAATACAAATGGAGACAAATAAAAAGTGCGTAAAAACTGCAATACACTGTAAATTTTCCCTAGATAAAATCTTATTTGGAAATAAACGGAGCATGAATTTTGAAGAAAAGGTCTACATTATTACCTCTAACGAAGGCCTTGGTAGCATTGGCTTTCATCAGAGATCTTGCACAGAAAGAATGCGAAAGGAAAATTGATGACACGTCGGTCAACAAGCCATGACTCACTCGTCTATTATTTGACCTTCTGTTGATCTGCTCATGAGACCAAAAGAAGGATTCAATTGCAGAAAATTATCTTTGTTTGAACATTTCAAAACACAGACAAGCATCATTTGTTCACTCAAATATCGAATTATCTCAGGAAAAATGTCGAACCATCAAACTTAAATTATAATTCAGAAGTTCTTGCTGCTTCTCAGTGGAATATTGAGGGATATGGAAAAAATGCTCACGTTCGGAATTGACAATATACTTTACTTAGAGAGAGAATGTGTTTCCAACGAATCTAACCAGAGGAAGGCTGCTGATCGATGGATTTGGAGAAATCAATGTCCTGAGAAAATTCAGGACTGCTACTTCGATTCTTGCTCGAACCTGAACAAAATACATTTTGAGAGAAGAGATATTCCAGTGAAAGAACAGGGGAGAAGAAACAAAAAATTGTAAATAGTAGTCGGAGAAGAGAGGGGTTGTGATGACGACACCTCAGATGGTGGAAGGATTTCTGCGTAGCAGAGATGCTGATCTGAATAGAACAAAGAACTCTTGCAAAAATCCTCCATTAGAGCGAGTTTTTTCGCGCGCACGAGAAACCTCTTTATTAGGCGTGGGCAATGCTCGGCGTACGGATTGGTCGAACTTGTATTACGATACGGTGCTTAGAAGTTAGAACCTTCACCGTGTTCCGGGCCTTCCGGCTCATTGTATATCTCGTTATTGCAAGGTATCGTCTTAACGACGGGTTTAGCATTTGCAAGTGTACATGTGCCATTAATATGTTATTATTTATTTAAATTAGATCGTTAAATTATAATTATAAAAAATATATGATTTATCTAAAAATTATACTAGCATGAGAATGTAGAAGAAGATCCATAAATTCGAGACTAAGACACAATCTATATGCAATTATTACATTTTTATTATTAAATCAATTATTTTATATTTTATCAGTTTTCTTTTGTATATTACCAAAAAATAAATTAATTACTTAATTTAACCTTAAAATCTTAATACGCTAGCTAATAGGTATATAACTTCTTACTATCAAGGAGGCGGATAAATAAATTTTGATTCATATTTCATAATATGGATATATTTATATATTATAGTGGCATTGGTCACAGTATAACTTATAACATAATGTTATAAATTTTGATTGATCGAATCCTTTCCGGTATCATATGAATATCTTTCCGCCATCATTTTTCTTATTTTTATTATTAAAAAAAAAGGTTTTCCTACTTCATAATGAATTAGAAAGTTTAGTTCGTATCTTTTAATAATAAATCAAATTCAATCATTCAATTCAAACCCGTAACTATTAAAAATCAAATTCGGCTTTCTTCTTCAGTCCTATTGCTGTGAAGGTGAAGACAGTTTCAGATCATTGCTGAAGACTGATTGTCGTTGGAATATTGATGGCTGGCGAACTAATACTGTTTCAGACCCTTGACTTCCTAATGGTTGTACATGAGTTCACATCTTTGTCATGTAAATATCTCTCAATGATAATATCAAAATTGATGATGTCATCATCAATAGATGTTCCCAATACATGGCGGGGATGTGCTGTGGAATGTTGTAGGGCGCAGATCTGAACTTGTACACTGGTGCTTTGTGAAGTTGACTTGGAGCCATCCTATTCTGTACTCTCAAAGATATTCCATCACTCTGCTATTATCATGGAAGTAGTTTTGGTCCTTCAAATACCTGCTCCAGCATGCTTTACTCTCTCTCTCTCTCTCAAGGTTGATGCCCATCTACAATTCACACTTCTTGATTGAGGATTTCCTACTCACTTTTCCTACCCACTCTCTACCTGCAGTAAATTGGAGTCACACATCTCTCAATTCATGGCGGGTAGAGAGTGGGTAGGAAAAGTGAGTAGGCTAATCGTGATGGGAACACTGATTTCAAGCCATCTTTTGTGCTTTCCCTACTTTTGGAGCATCTAGCGTGCGAAGAAGCAAGAACCAGCTTACTTTTGAGCAAAAACAGCCTTGTGTTCCTGCAATCAGTGATGAAAATACTCGAGCCACTGGAGATTTCTACTCCTCAGCCTCACTGCTGGTAAGCCTCCCTCAACACTGATCTCAATTAGAGACGCTTTAATTTGGCAAAAACCTCCGGCTGGCCTCTTTAAAATCAACATTGATGGAGCTATTGCATGTAATCAGTCTGGCGCAGGCATTAATGCATTATCATCAGAGTCAGAGACATGGGCCGGTTCCTTTTTGCGAGAGGGGTTCAGCCTCTCCTTGCCCAGCCACTATGGCTGAAACATGGACTTTATTTGAACTTTTGAAGGTTTAAAGATAACCCAGGACCTGAACCTTTTTAACACAGTTGTTAAAAGTGATGCCAAATCCATTGTTGACATTGTGTTGATGGATATTTCTGAGGCACCATGATGCATTCAGAACTTGATTACGAGCTGCAGAGGTCTTTTACATAAGCAAAATTTGCTTTATCTTGTATACACGTTTTCTTGCCCCCCCCCCCCCTTTCATTTCTACTGTTCTGGGGAGAGATACCTAACTTTATTGTTATTATTATAGTAAAGGAAGAAACCTATTATGCTGAAAAGACATGATACCAGAAAAACTTTGACCAACCATATCCCAGCAAAAGGCTTTCCAGAAGTTAAATTGGTATTAATCTCAATCTATTACAACAAACATGGGAACCTTTTTCCTTTCTCATTTTCTCCTCATTCTGTTTTTAAGTTTAATAGAACTGGTAAATAACAATTTGTGCCTTCGGCTACAAAAAAAAATACATGGCAGCACAAAAATCAGAGCCCATTTACACTCACATATTTACTATCATGCCACTTTTCTAAAGAAATGCTCTATTTGCAAGCAGCCTTGAGATTGCTGGGCACTAGATTTGAGTCTCTTTGGCAACATGGTATTACCCTTATCATCCTGCACATGATAACAAATTAATGCTTTACTTATGGATTTGAACTGCTAAGAATAGGTGTTGAATTAAGCAGTGGAGGAGAAGACCCACCAAGAATGATTGGTTTTGAGATCTCAAAACTTTGATTCTGCCTCCTCTTCCATCAGCTCCAACAGCAATTAAGCTTCCACAACCTGATTGTTGCTCTGGTGCCTTGCTGTGGACACGTTTACACCATTTACCAAGATATCTCTTTGTTCCATCAGGCCCAATAAGCCCCCCGGAAAAGCATTGATCTCCTGTAGGTTTTAACATGAATTGAAAATCAACAATGTAATATGAAATGTTTCATAAATTTCTATATAGATGCCATCAGATAAGGTCACCTGTGAGGAAGTGCTCTATGAACACAATATCAAGACTCACCTATCCTAGAACTTTGCTTATAGATGGTCCTGTTAAGCTTAATATATGGCAATGATGAACTTTATTGATCAATACCTGTTCTCAGGCAGCCCGTCAGGTTCAGCTTTACAATGCTTTGGGCTCAGGGCCCATTCAAAACTTGATAAAACCTGAACCAGAGCCTAGCCCATGAACAGGTCTGTTGGGCCATCATTCAACAAATAATAATAATAATAATAACAACAACAACAACAACAACAACAACAACAATAATAATAATAAAGATGTAAAATATAGGTAATATTCCTTTGTGGCTGCCTAACTTGAATTTCAGAAAGCTCACCTGGCTGGGTAATGGGAACAGAAGATGGAGTCTCTTTTCTAATATTTATTAAAGGTGAAGCATCTGTAGTGTCATCAACAAGCAATTTCACATCTTTGGCTAAAACGCCAGCAGAAGTTTTGTTTATGTAATTCTTAGTAGCAATGCTTGAATCTGAGAACCCAAATAAATGGCCATCCTTATCTATAACTGAGTAATCATCATTATCTGGATCCAGAATGACAGTCGCATCCTGCTTTGAAGTATTTACACCTAAATCTTTGCCGAATTTAGAATGGTCCATTTTCCTGGAATGAAATGTATCATTGTTCAAGTGTCCACTTTGATTTGAGTTCTTGATGGATTTAACAGGATGCACCAATTGACTCGCTGATGGACTATTATTGATACATGGAGAGTTGGGGTTCCGATTCAGATCATTTGTATCAACCCCCTTGGTGGTAGTTTTCTTGGAGGCTTTCAAAGCCCTTAGGGCCTCATTATCCTTTTCTTCAAGAGCTGTCTCCAGTTCTTGCACCCTTGACTGGTAGGGACCATAAAAAAAAGATTTTCAGGTCAAATTTCAAAACCAGAAAAGGATGCATTTAGCAAGTACAAAGCATACCTTCAGCTTCTTTATCTTCTCTTCAGCCTTCTCAAGCTTTCTAAGAGAACGATTCTCTCCTCTTCCTAGCAGGTTGCATTGGGCCATCAATTCTTTGTAGCTCCTGCAGCAATGTATGGGAATAAGAATCATATAATAGATAAAAAGAACATAACCAATACTTCGTTTTTACATTCCATAAGTTACACCTTAGCTAGGTCCAAAGCTTCCATCAAAGTGAAAGATCTGATTGAACAGAACCCGCTACTAAATCTGATTAATCTGATTTGATCACTGACAACAGCTTAAGAGTGATCAAGTCTATCCTGGAGGTGCACTTAGGGAAGGAGTGTAATCCTTATTAGGCAGGACAAGCTTGAGCAGAATAAAAACATCATAATAACAGTGCAAATTTTAGGATATGAGCATTCTCACACAATTAAGTTGATTGACAGTTCTAAACAACGACAATATGTTACTTGAACTGATGCTTTAGTCCAACTGACTTCTTGATTCATCATTGTTCCAATAATAATAGACCTCATGTGTATAAACCCAGTTGAATGGTGTCGAACTATGAAACTGTAAATGGTTGAGCCATAAAGAAGAATATAGGCCAGAGCTCAAAGTTCAACATCTTTTTTTTATCAATAACTGTGAAATGTATTAATTAAGATTAAGAAAATTACAAAGCAAGGGGGCTAAACAATCTTAGCTCCCTAGAACAATCTTACCTCAAAGTTCAACATCTTCTTCATTTTAATACCATATATTCAAGTTTAGCCCTTATCTGTCTCCCTTATGTTTAGTTTATAAATAGTCGTTGTAGTTGAAATCTCAGAGTTGAATTAATAGAATAAGGGTATATTTTAATTTTTAAAGTTACCTGCAGGTAATAGCATGATGATCTTTCTCTTTTTTTTACCTCTTTATTTGATCAATAACAACAGCTTCATTAATTTTAAAAGAAAAGAGGGATTATGGATACAAGAGGGGAGATAAAATATCTTAGCTCCCCAATAACAGAATACAAAGAGAAAAAAATAAAAACTAGCCCAAAAGACTGACTCCCTATTCACCCCTTGCTTGGCCAACCCATCCGCAAATGAGTTGGCACTCTTCACCCAGCTGTATTGTATCTCAAAGTCCCTACACAGCCATAAGAACTGTTTCTTTTCATTGTTATAATTCCACAAACCACCATCCTCTTTCTTCAACCAGCTAACCACCACCTTCGAATCACCTTCCAGGATCAAACGACTGATATTTAATTCCTTTGCTCTTCGAATTCCTTCAAGCGCTGCAAGGATCTCCGCCCTAAGAGAGTCACCTTCTCCAATAGGGCCAAAGAACAAAGCAATAACAATCTCTTCCTCATTCCTGAAAACTCCTCCAATCCCAGAGGGCCCTAGATTCCTTACACTATTGCCATCAAAATTCAACTTTATAAAACCCAAGGGGGGAGGGGACCAAGAGGGACAAAGAGTCCTCTTGCACCTAGCAATGGAAGCAATCTCTTTCCAATTTCTTAGCAAGTCATCCACAGGAAAGTCTGAAAACAACTCCAAAGATTTTAGCAAGTGGGCAGCCCTTAAAAGGATTAGGTCTAATAGTTCTTCCAAGGTTCTTTCCTTGTCAAAAAAAAATACGTGAATTTCTTTCTTCCCACAGGGATCAGCACACAGTTGCCCTAATACTCCTCTACATAGTCTTCCCTCACTTCTTAGGCCATCTAAAAAAAGGAGAACAAACTTTGGATACTCTCCAGAGGATTCCAAGTAGGGGTGAGAAAAAAACCGAACCAACCAAAAAAACTGACTGAAACCAAACCGAGAAATCAGTTAACTGAACCGGTCGATTCGATTAACCATTTAATAAAACCAGCATTTAGCCAAACCGACCGATATATATAAAGTAATCTATATTTATATAATATATATATATTATTATTTTTCATTTCTTTTTGAAAATCGAATATACATTTTCGATAGTAGACTTTTCAAACTTTCTCTTTGAAAGTTTCAAAAAGAGCTTTGAAAATCGAAAATGGAAAGTTTCAAAGAGAAAGAGAAACTTTTGACCTTGCTAGAGTGCCAAACTAGAGACTGTCAGACTCTCAGTCTTGAAAATCGAAAAGTTTCAAGCTTTAGCCCTTTCTTTTCTTTTGTCACAGTGGTTTTTTTCCACCAGCAGTTTCTTCAAATCACACTCTCACTCTCTCAGATTCTCAGTTTCTTCCCCAATAGACTGACGGCCTCCGGTGCTCCACCCTCCGACTGAATCACCGATGGCTAGCGTCTCCTCTTAGATTCAGCCTTCACTCTCTCAGACCGGTATCTGGTGTCTTCTCTCAAATCTGAAATCTCAATCTCTCATCTCTCAGTTTCTCTCTCTCATTTCGACACTCAGACTCACTGATCTCTCTCAATCTCTTCTCTCTCAGTCTCTTCTCTCTCAATCTCAGTCACTCATCTCTCTCAATCTGTCTCTCTCTCTCTCTCATCTCTCTCACTCTCAACTCACAATTCGTTCACTCTCTTCAAACCATCGACAGGGAAGGTTCCCCCCCCCCTTTTAATATTAAGGGCATAAAAAACAAAAAAACCAAACCACACCAGTTAACCGGTCAACCAATTAACCGGTTGCATTAGTTTGGTTTCGGTTTAGTTAAATTGAAAAACCAAACAATTCAATTCGGTCCAGAAAATCACCCTAACTGAACCGTGAGCACCCCTAATTCCAAGAACACCCAAAGCGGGAGAAAACCCACTCCCACACAGTTTTAGTAACCTTACAAGAGACCATGAGATGGTAGCCAAATTCCCCATTAGCTTTACAAAGAGCACATCTATTAGGAAGTAGACAATAGTTGGGTCTCTTTCTCTGAAGTAAGTCAAATGTGTTTATGCTTTCCAAGAAAATTTCCCAACAAAAAAAACTAACCCGAGGAATAGGCTTGCTCCGTATTTCCTTAGCCGGAAAGGACAACCCAAAAGGGGTGGAAGGCTGAGTTAAGGTTTCAAAGAATGAAGCACAAGAGAAAGTACAAGAGGTAGATGGGGTCCAAAATCTGGTGTCTTCCTTATAGGATTTAGGAAAACATTCTCAAGGGTGGATAGCAAAGGTAACAAGCTGTCCAAGTTTGTATCCCTAATTGTCCTACGCAGGCCTAGGTTCCACCCAAAACCAGATGCAGAGTCTGAAGGAACCAAGAAAGAAGAGATAGGTTCATTTTTCAAATCTGACTGAGCATACAAGTATGGAAACTGGTCCTTCAGAGGTGATGTGCAACATTTCTTCTCTTTCTTTTTCTTCCTTTTTTTTTGTTTTCTGGATGATCTACTCGTAATTTCAATCCTTAGTTTTCCTCTTCCCACCATGTGAAGATTGTGAAGCCTTTCTTCTCATCTTACATCATCACCCCATGTTATATACATGGTAGATTGTAGGCAGCAATTCCACATGAAAAATGTGGAAATTTTCCTACCTCTCTTTGGTCTCTAGTGAACAATACAGTGTAGGATAACTATATGGAACTGTGTTTGAGAAACAATTATAGAGTATTTAGGAAGAGAGGAACTCAAGGCCTCAAGGGTCTTTTCTAGTATATCTAATTCTTTTGAGATTGTAATTGATTTGATCAAAGTCAGAGTGGCTCATTAAACCTGGAAGAGAGATGAATTCAAAAACCTAATAGATTCCATAATTAAAAGGTGGCAACTGTATATCTTTTTTCTTCATCCATAAGCAAGGTGTGTTTAAGCCTCTTGGGCAGTGCTACTGGGCTCAGCTCTAATGACTATCCCATTGGAAACCTAGGTATGTTTATGACACTTCAGGGGTTAGGCGGTGGAGATCATACTCATTAGTTTGGTACCAATTTGGAGAATATTGGAGAAAAGACTGATATTACTGCCAGGTCATAAGCTGAAGCATTAGAATCTTGTAAATCATGATACAAATTACAATTAGAATGAATCACAAAGACTCCCATTCAAATCCTATGATCCAATCCTTTTCTAAGATCTAACAGTCATTATCTTTTTCATTTTGGTAAACAAGAACTACATTAAGCAAACAAAACCAAACAACAGAACAGACATAGAACAACAACAAACAGAGAAAACAGCAGCTAAACAAATCAACCTAAAACAAGAAAACCAGATACCTAAATACCAAAACTACCAACAGAGGAAAGAACATCTAAAGGCCAAATGGGCACAACAGAAGTATAAGGTTCAGTGGTTGAACAACCCCTTAGAGCAAACTCATGGGCAGCCTTGTTTTGAGATCTGGATACAAAAGCAAGTTTGACATCAAGGCCCTGAATCCAGACTCGAGCATCTTTAACCACAAAGCAAATCTCAGACAGCACTTCCTTCTTGTGATCCAGGATAGCCAATACAAGGTTTCTGCAGTCACTAACAGTTATTATCTGAATCTCACCATCAGTTCGTGAACCTTATGATTTATCTGATTCAAGCAATTGAAACCAATTTGATCAGGACCTAGTTCTGTACTTTGTTTTGATTTCTAACTTTTCATTGGGTTCTTGTTTTAGAATCATTACCAGAAATCTTGTTTAGGTTACTTAAACCTTTGTTGAGTTTATTTCCATCATATGCAAGTTAAAAGCCATTATGCACATAGTTATGTTGTCTTAGGTTCATAATGTGCAGTTGGTAAAGTTTGTTGTCTTAATTAATAGTTAATTATATGGTGGATGTGGATTAAAATGGGGTAAATACATTTTTATATGTTTTAGCGTGGGTATCTTTAAATTTGACAAAACTCTGAATAACAGAAATAACCATATAATTTGTGAGATAATCCACCTTCAGGAGTCTAACTGATTCAATAGTCTCTACAATTTATAATACAATTAGATTTAAAGAAATGGGTTGAAGCCATATTTGGTAAGGTTTGAGCACATTAAGGTGGAAGTTGACTTGGGTTTTTGGTTGGATGGGGATGGCTTTTCTGGGCCATGGAGCTTGAAACACTACTAGGGAGTTAAAAACTTTGGCATCTAGAGCTAACATCATTCAGATGGATCCCTAAATCTGCAAATGTCTTAGCAGGTAGACTTGCCAGTGCTGGTTAGAAAGGTCTATTTTTTTATCAGGCTCTTTTTCATAGTGGTATACCTCTGTAAGGAAAGTGATTGCATCCAATTGTTTTTAGGATTTTGTGGCGACTAGTTGTATTATGGTCTTGCTTCAATCCATTAAGAAGTTTCTTGTGTTTGAATTCGAAAACATGAGTAGACACACACATGCATGCAAGTGCGTGCGTGCATGCACACGTGCACGCACACACACACACACACACACCAAAAATAAACCTAGATGGCTACTGGCATAACCCTATTGATTTCAAAAAACAAGAATGGTTTCAATAGCTAAGGAAGCATTTTTCATATTTGACATTGCATAGCCTTCTCCATACTTTATAGAAAACTTCCTAGCAAAAAGTCAAGGCATAAACATGTCAAAACTTTCATCCTTTCTATATTTCTACTTCTATAAACAAGGTGCACATCCTTGGAACTTGGTAAAAGATTCCAAGTTCATTCATCAAAATAGCTTCGTCTTCATCCTTACCATACTCTTCTCATTCCTTGATACCTCTAAGTTTATCGAAACAAGAAAAAGGTCAACCAGATTTGCACCCTTTGTAATGATTTTTTATCATTCACAGTTTTCTAATGAATTGGCTTGACAATTTGTCTACTGGACCCTCTAGGGTGTGGTGTAAAGTTCTCTATATCGTGTTCAATTGTTCACCCAGATGCTACTGTGTTTGATCACAGGTTAGTCCATACCCCTATCACTCTGCTCACTTAACAATGGACACGAGGGGTCCACAGATACCTTAGGAACATCGGTGCAATCATCAATTACACCAATGTTCTGACATAACGACAGTTATAATACCCATGTTCTGACATAATGGAAACATGGGTATTATAATCATCCCTGTCATATTTTCTGTAAGAAAAGACTTCATCAAGCACAAAACTCTCTAGCAACCAAAAGGTTGGGTTCCTTTCTTTCATCAAATCAAATAAAGATGTATTTCTTTATTTTTGAAAATAAAGAAACAGCAGTGAATTGTGTTATTGATCAAAAATAAATAAATAAACAGCAGGATTTTTTTAAAATAAAACACCTTCACTAGATACTGATAAAAATATATTTTTTGTATCTACTCATAAAGGGTTTGTACAGCAGGAGGATAAACTTGCACAGCGCCTTACTGTGTAGCTTTTGATTGTAATTTTTTGCATACTTTAATGAAATACTTCACCCTTTTTCAAAACAAAAAATAAATAAATATGTATGTCTTTACCTTGTCGTCATTGTTTACTCTTCTTCAACACACTAAAATAACAAATTGCCCCTATAAACTTGTAGGGGGACTTGATATTTATTATACTAGAGGTACCTAATTGATACTGTCACACATGCCAAATCAGCATCCATAAAGTCTTAGGTTAACTCTCTGCATGTAAGAACCACTACAAGCCCCAATTAAGTTCTTGATCTTTCTCATGTTTTTTTTTTCTGATAAGTTATTGACCTTTCTCATGTTTCCAACAAAATGAGAACTCGGCAGAAGTGTAGTGTCTCTCTTTCATTATCAATTTTAAGATGCTTGACATTCATTTAAACATACTTTTCAAGAGTCACGTAGGTGGGCATCTAGGTGACCACTGATTATAGGCCACATCATGCTTGCATCATCAAACCATGCCTTCTGGTTGAGAACATAGTAGTCAAAGCACCAAGGGGAAGACAAAGGAGCACCTAGCAGCCTAGGTGGGCATCTAGGTGATGGATATTTAAATACGAAAAAAAAAAAAAAAACTAAATCCTAAGTTAACTCCCTAGTGATCTTCATCAGGTAAGTACACATTTAATATCAAAACATAGAAACCAGCATATTCACACACAAAAAAAAAATACTATCAAAGTCTCATCAGTTGGCTCTTGTGTGTTGATTGGCCAAAGCCCTCAAGAGCTTCAGGCGGCTTCTGCAGACTTGTTTGTTAACCAAACCACAACAAATAAGAAAACAATAAAAAAGAACTAGTGTGTGACAAAATTATAAACCCAACAAATGAATAATTTAGTATAATATTGTAAACAAACAAAATATAAATATAAAAATATTAAAGAGCACCTTGTGCAGAAACAATCAGGTGATTGGGTGAGGTGATCCATCATAGGCGTTCAGTCACCTAAGCATCAGTTTAACAACTACAGTTGAGAAAACAAAAAATTGGCACACTCAAAGAAGAGGGATTTGCTGGTTCTGAAGCCTTGAATTGCTGGTTCCAGAACTATCACAAAAATGAACTAAATGCATGATTTTGCCTTTTTTTTGTTCGAAAATCAACCGGAACACATCCATAATGATGGACCAAATATTCCCTAAATCACCATGAATAAACCAAAATTGAAGCACTGCCATTTCTTAGGCTTTCTCTTGGGGGAGGGGTTTATAATGGCCTACACTGACCAACCATGATCAAAAGTAAAATACACCAAGTATAATGGATTAATCTCTAATCTCCATCAACTTGATTTTGGTAATGGTAACACCTTCCTTTTCGTGCCAAATGGGCAGCACAGCCCAAGAGTAACAATTTTGTCATTGCCTTCTTAATGTCAAAAACCATATAACTTCCATTTGCGGTGAGATTATGTCCATATCTGGAATTGTCATTCTAATCATCTTCAAAATTAATTGAGACCAGTGCATCCACCACGCACTTAAACCATGAAATGGCTTTCACACTTGCATTAGCATTGCCTCTTTTTTTCTGAGAAAAGGACAACTTTCATTAAAAGAAAGGATGTAAATGAGGAGATATACACAACAGCCAAACCAAAACCCAAAACCCAAAACCCAAAAAAGGAAACCTCCAAGGAATTAAATTCTTCTCAGCTGATAACCAATTCTTTGATTTCATTGAAGATGAAGCTGAACCTCCAATGTCCATCTTTTAAATTCTTCACCCAGCTGATAACCGTTTTAGAATCTCCTTCCACCACCAGACCAGTTAAATTCAGAATAGCTGCAGCTATCAAACCCACTAACAAGGCATGAATTTCTGCTTCTTCCAAGTCTGTTATACCAATCAGCCCACTTAACACCCATAGCAGATCACCATTAGATTCGATAATTTGGCCCCCAATCCCAACCTAACCCCTATGACTCAAAACACTTCTGCAACTGCCGTCAAAGGTCAAACTGAAGAACAAAGTCCACAGGGGTCTGGGAGAAAGGCTAGAGTGACTAGGAGACATCATACACAAGGAGTTTAGAACCTGCCACAGGTTTCAGTCCATATCTCCAAAAGGCACCAAACCTCTTTTCAGTTGGTCATGATTTTTTTCTAGTACATTCATGTTTAACACATTAGCTACACTTGGCACTGCCAAATTTCATTATCTTTAATGAATGATTCTCCACCACGCTTGTTAGAAGCATCAAGTGAGTTTTCATAATAGTCAGAACCTTTCTGCTTCTCCGTCTCCTTGATAAAGTTATTCTAGTTGCCAGGAAAAGAAACAAATCCATCATTTACAGCAATAGAGAAACCAAGCATTTGGCAAGCTAAAGACTCTTCAGACATGTAAAAAGTTTGAATATCACCAACAATGATTGCCTGTATAAAATATATTTCTTTTTTATGTACAAGTAATATGCAATCTAAGTCCATCCTTCTAAAATATTTCCCAATGAATTTAGGAGTGAATTTTCAAAATCAAGGATTTTTATCTTTAGAACTGTTGCCAACCCATTGCCCAACAATTGTCATTACATCATATTATTTTACTAAAAATCCACCAAAAGTTGTCTGTATCTGAACAAGTAATTTGCAATCTAATTATTCATGCCAATAATTTTAAACAAGGATGAAACAAAACTAATCAGGGAGTTCACATTGTCACCCCACAGGGCACTCCACGTGCACCCTACAGCACATTACCGCATCCTGACCGTGTATAGGGAACATCTTCCAATGACATGTACGGGAGATTTTCCCAATGCACACTGAGATGTGCATGTGGGGTGCCCATGGAGCACTGATGTGATCTCCTAATCAGGGATCACCTGCAAGATCTATAATAATCCATTCCTCTCATGCTTAAAAGAAAACAGAGCAGCAAGAAAACTTACTTGTTACGAAGGACCAATGACTTCTTTAGGACATCTATTGTATCTTTGGTGTTAGTTCCATTACCAAACGAAGCAAGCTTCAATACTTCTTCTTCCTCCAGGTTCACATCCGATACTCTAAGTTGCAAAACTTATGGTGAGAGTAAGCTAACAGAAAAATAAACAAAGACAATAATTTTATTTTCTTCTTACTCAGAACTTCCCTTACAATTTGAGTGCAGCAAGCTCTTTAGCCAGACCCACATTCCTTTCCTGAAGCCTGGAGCACTCCAATGATAACTTTTCAAGTTCCTGTAACATATAGCATCTAATGGAAATGGTGTAAAATATGAAAATATGATGCTTATAAATTTCATCCCTATTCAGAGAGTATAGAATCTAATTTAGGGGGAAAAAGAAAAGACACCTCGGATTTTGAATGAAGCAACTGCTGAATGACCACTTTCTGTTTCAAAGCTTCTTTTTTCAGTTCCAACTCTTTCTTCAAGTTGTCCTTACAGAGACAAAGCTGAGAGGAAATGGCAATAAGAACCCAAACGGAATGTGAATAAAAAGAAAAGTAGCCCTAATAAGATTTCTTCAAGATGAAGATTCAATATAAACATCCGTAATCAGAAGAACAGACAACACACAATACACAACAATAATTGCAAATATATGATTAAACCAAATACCTCTTCGCTGAGGTCTTTGAGATCACGCTGTTGGCGCTCAAAAGCTGAACCAAGTCCCGATATCTTCCCCTCCAACCTCTTCACTTCCCTGCGCAACGCCGCAGGATCTTCTTCCTCTCCGAGGAATGGTTTCTGAGACCGAATTAAATCGGCGGAATCGCCAATCCACTGGAAGTAAAGCCTTAGGGCATTCTCTGGAGAACAACATTGCTTGCAGACAGGGCAAGTGCTCTTCTTTGCCTTGGAGCAGTATTCAAACCATTGTTGGAGGCTGTTCTTTTAAGAGACGAAAGAGGTCTGATTAATGTTGTTGTCCATGAAGAAAGTAAGCAGCGATAGAAGGGGAAAAAATACAAACCAGAGCTCGTGAAAGACGTGACCGCAGGTCGAGATAGCTTGTAAGTCTTCGACGATTGGTTTGAAATCCTCGTAACAGATGGAACAGATGGTTTTGCCAAAGCCGCTCTCATCGCTCATGCTTGTTTGCTCCCAATCTTCCACAGTCACGTCGTCCAGACTATGGAGTCCAGACTCTTCCCTTTTATCCTTTTTCCTTCAATTCCTCTATCGCTTCCTTCATGGAGGGCGATTTTAAAATGGCAAAATAAACGGCAGAGAAGGGAAGTGTGAGCGGGAAGGGGAAGACGTCATGGAGGGAACCAAAATTGCACAAAAATAACAAACTACCATTTGTGCATCCGTGAAGTGCGATGGTGTTGTGGGACCCATTTTGTGATGTACCGTCGTGATTGTTTTTCCCATACCTGTGCAAACTGCAAACCGCACAAACACACAGCACACATCTCACTTTCAGACTTCAGTCTCTCGCTCAGTCACTCGTAATGCGTAAATCGTAATGCTGTGGTAACTAACTGGTGGGAGAGTCCGGAGTCCGGAGTCCGGACCCCGGATCTGTGTACTGGGAAACATCTCTCGTCATTTGTGGTGTTATTCATGAGAGATATTTCTAATACACGATGGATGGGGCTGTGAGGTCTCTGTAAGATGCGTTTGTGAGGAGTAGATCCCCATTCGTGGTGGGGCCCAATTTAGAGCCTTTGGTTCAGCTCACGAGTTGGATCTCCACGCAAGAAAACTGTCTAAGACTCCAAACATATCTGTATCCGCACATCTCCTTTCTGAGCGCTCCTCACATTTCACGTCGACCTCACATATGCTCATCCGTACATTGAGAACATCATTTTCTATTATACGGTGAAAAATGGCTGTAAGGTCGGTGCGAGAATCACTTTATAAGTGCATATGAGTTTAAATCAGCCCCCACAACATCCTACATCACATCCTCTACATTGTGGGGGTCGATTTGATTTTAGTGTAGATACAAATGATGTTGTTTGTGTTTGATTTCGTTTATGTTTATTGAATAAAGTTTGTATTTTATTTATTGGTAAAACTGAGAAATCGCAATAATTGTAATTGTTTATGACAATTAGGCGCCACTAGATTTCACATCAACATAATAGTGAATAAGCGTTTGATTATTTGTGGAAGCTTTAAAAAATAATTTCCACAAACGACTGGCATGCATAAAAATCAAAATTTATTGTTTTTACTTTCGATGCATGTAAAAGAGCAAGAGAGAAAATGCTGAAATGGCACCTATGTAGCACCATCAATAAACCTTTACGGAATAAACATAAACTGAACCAAACACCCTCATTGAAAGTTGAAATGCATCTAAACGGTTCTTTGTGGGGAGGAGATATGGACTGTTAGGTGACAGGATCTGTTCCTTACAAATGGATGCCTCACAGGCACATCCATTATGCATTTTGAACATCTCTAATGAATAATAACTAATTAATATAGGAAATGTTTCCGATGCTTGATAGGATGTGCGTGTACGACGCCTGTGAGTACCATGTATAAGGAGTAGATCCGGTCTCGACTGTTAGCTAACCACAATATCATCACAAGCCTAGACCAACGACTTTGGGTCGGCATCTGGGCCCCATGTGTATTCACCTGCTGGGTGCTGCTCGCTCTACTGTGTTTCGCGGGCTACATGATTACACTGAGGTAAAAAGTTGGAGGATGGGCTACCCCTTCTACCCCGCGAAAAAATCAAATAGGAACAGAGGAGAGTTGCACACCAGGTCAACTGGGCTATACGGCCCATATCACGTAGAGCCGATCCAGGCGTGCGACGTGCTTCCCTTTTCAGAGTGATACACTTATACCCAAGTGTTCATCGAAAAGACAATACTTCAGTATTACCAACTACCAAATCCATGTACTGACCCAACATCTGGATCTGGATGGTCCGAATAGAGAAGTTTATCAAAATTGTAACCTTTAGGCCATGTTCGTTTTTCGTAAAGTGGAGAGGGAAAGTTTGTAATCAATTGTGGGACCATGCTAAGGTTTATCAAAATTGTAACCAATTTATCTGCTTCGAATTTTAAATTTATGTGGGACCCATGCTAAGTTTTATTTTCCCGGATAATGATACCCTTACGACACTCGGGTAAATTGGTTTCCCGAGTGGAGGGTAAACGAATAAAAAGTAATATCTCAAAATTGCCCCCACAAGATAAGAGTCTCTTCGACTTTTTTTTCCCAGATCTCGGCGTTCTTCTCTCACCTCTGGGCTCTGCATTTCTTCTCCTCCATTCAGATTTTCTCCTCTCACCTCTCGGCTCTGCATTTCTTCTCCTCCATTCCGTTTTTCTCCTCTCACCTCTTGGCTCTGCATTTCTTCTCCTCCATTCCGTTTTTCTCCTCTCATACTATAACTCTCCCACCGCTCCTGTCTCCCTTCAACTATCTCTTCTGCCTCTCTCTCTCTCTCTCTCACACACACACACCAGTCACCACCGCTGCTGAGTTCAAAACGGCAACTAGTCGCCATCGCAGTGATGCCTTTCAAGCCCTAACATAACCCGCCGAAGAGCCAATCTTTCCCTTTCAGCACCGCCAAACAAAGGACTTCCTTGAGTCGTCTACGGGTATTCTTCCGTAAAGGCACCAAGGCCTCCTGCAGGTTGTATTCCACTCAAACATTTGAGCTTAGTAACTTACAGCAGAAAACGAAAACCTGTTTCTGTCGTGTCCGCCGGTTTTCGCTTGCTTGTGTGGTAGGAGAGCCGCTAACTGTGTGATGGCTGCGGCAGCTCGATCAATTGCTGGGTTCACGGAGTCTGTCAAGTATGGTGTTTCGCTATCGCCAGTTCCAAGCGGCCACTCCCTTGCCTCAGCTCGTTATGTGAGTATGTCTTCTGAATTCTGAATTTATCTACCTTACTTCATTCTTCTTTGAATATGAAAAGGAAAGGAAAAAAGGTTGGTTACATAAATCATAAATGGATGTTGTCATGGAAAAGGGGTACCGGATTTGCTCGCTGTCGACGAATGGATGCCGAGGAGACCCAAAAATCCCAATCAGAACTGTTGAGACCAGGACGTTTCCGGTGGTTGGAACACTAGCGATGGCTATGGAAAGTCTCAAGTTCAAACTGATTGTTTGTATGCTTGATCAGTACTGTTGTTTGTGATACTATTTTTATTGTTTTCCAGATTTTGTTACCAAGACTATGGAGATTATGGTGGGTATGGTACTCCTGGAGTCACTATCTGCCCTCATCAGGGTACTTTTCTTGCAGAGAGCATGAAATGCTGTAGATGTATCAGTTGCAGCACCTTTTAAAGGAGCCAAGGGGCAGAAAGGCCTCATAGAGCGTCAACTGGGACTTTTGGGTGCAAAGCCAAAGCCAGATTAATGCAGAGGTATGTTTTTATTGAGTCCGTAGCTATCTGCTTATATACTCTGACCCTATAGTTAGTTCAACTCCATTTTTATTGAGTCCAAGCTTTCTATAGTTAGAGGTATCCTTTTAGTTAGTGAAACCTGAAGTTTCTAGCCTTACCATAATGCAGAAATTTATTTGATCCATTGTTCTGCTTCTGTATGTTTTTATTGATTTTTTTTTCTATCAAAATAGGTGATTAAGGGACTTGACGAAGGGACTTTGAGCATGAAAATTGGTGGAAAACGTCGACTCTACATGTACTGTTGGAATGCCATGATCTCTGGACTTGCACTTCATGGTTATGGCCAAGCTGCTCTAAGACTATTCGATGGTATGAAAGACAGACACATAAGGCCTGATGATATCACCTTTGTTGCTCTTCTAAGTGCGTGTAGCCATGCAGGTTTGGTTGAGGAGGACTACCAGATATTTGAGTCCACGGAGGACTTTGGGGTCCTTCCCAAGATGGAACATTATGCGTGTATGGTTGATCTTCTGGGTCGTGTTGGTCTCCTTGACCTTGCATACAGTTTCATGAAAGCCATGTCGTTTGAACCTGGTGCTGTGTTAGGTGCTTTGCTTAGCTCTTGTCTGGTTCATGGGGATGCTGAGTTAGCAGAAACTGTATCAAAGCATATCATCGACAAGGCCGGTTGTCTGAGCGATGGAGAATACATGATGCTGTCTAACATGTTTGCATTGCATGGTAGATGGAAAGAAGCAGATAACTGGAGAAGAATGATGAAAGAAGCAGGGATTAGTAAAGTTGCTGGTTGTAGTACTATAGAGATCAATGGTAGAATGTACAAATTTCTGGCCGGAGACGGAGAATGTGGTTAAAGCTAGCTTGACGACATCAAGACCTCAAGAATACTTGATTAGAAAAGCTGGGTTGTATGAGTTCGCTTGATAGTTGATACTTGATATCAGCATATTAGCATCAATCATAAACATGTCTGATCCAGCTTCCAACATCTTTCAGCTCTTCTAATCAGCAAATCAACATCTTAAACAATTTCTGTTAAAACAAAACAATGGTGACACCAATAAATAAGTTATAGGTTTTGGATATCTGAGGCTAACTGTATTGTGAAACAAAGAGCACTTTCTTCAATGTGTTTATTGAGGCTGAAGTATCCATTATACAGTTTACTAAAATAGCATACATGCAGGATATCTGAGGCTAACAGTCCAGTCACTTGTTGCCTTAGCTTTTCTATATTAAAGCCTTACAAAATGCTTTGATTTTAAACCATCTGATAGCTTTTCCAATTATCTATTCAGTTGTCAATTAATTCTTATTTCTTTTTTCTATTTTTCAAGTTTTAACAGTCTTAAATGCCCAAAATTTGAGCCCAAAATAATGGCAGATGGTGCTTATTTCTATCGTTCTAGAGGAAAATTTTGAATTAGGCTCAAATTGGGTTTAAAAGAAGAGGTAGCATGGTTTATTTCCAAAAATTTTAGGGGCATTTAAGACTTTGTGACATGTTTTTCAAACCCATGTCCAAGGGTAAAATTGGAAAGAGATGAAAAAATAACAATTTACCCAAGAAAGTGGGTGTTGCATAAGGACATGGGAAAATAAGAAACTTCATTTACCTAGATAAATCAAACAAAAAAAAAGAACATGGGTAAATGTATTTCCGAAAATAGAACATGGCCTTAGTCCTTTCAAATTCTCTTCAAATAGGTCATATTGTCAAAAGAATTCGGTACTTCACTGGTACCCGAAAGTATATAAATCCCAACGAACAATAAATTGGGAACTGATTTTGATTTCCAAAAATTCTATTTACACAAAAATTCAAAGCGAAGATGTTTTATTTAACAAAGCTTTTCTATTCTTCCTTTTCTTTTTGTTATTCTGTCTTATTGAGACCTGCTATGCTGTTGCAGGTTGCAGGAAATAATACGCCGGCTGATTCAAGGAGTGAAACCTAATCAAAGGAAGTTGGGAAAGGATGATCAACGCGAACAATGTCCTCTGTTACCAGCTCTACCAGCCTCCTACCTCTCAAGTCTCAACAAGAATGCTTTGCTGATCAAAGATCTTGATGTTCATTCTGTAACTTGTTCACAGTTCTATTTTCTTTATCAACATCTCCGTTTGCAAATTGTCCAATTGCTCTTCATTTAATTGTTCCCAGCTTCCAACCACGATAGAATTGGCATTTGCTAAAAACAATGAAAGTAAAATATAGACAGCGAGAAGTATGGCAAAAACTCTGATCAAATAAATGAAAGGCAATGGATACCCAGCACCTTCTGTATATATTTCACATAAAATACATAAGATGCGTATCATTTCAAGGAACAGCTGACCTGACAGATTCGATTCAGGGACCCATAAATTACAAAAGAAAAAAAAAGAAAAAAAAACAATTAAGCAAATGGAAATGTACAACCCAATAGAGTCAGCATTCCTTCTGGTGGGCCTGTTGCGGCTTTGGTAATTTGTGGTGGATCCTTGGGAATAATAGTTCACGAAGTTGTCTCTCAGCACTATACTCTGAAGTGGCCTGCAAATAAAATTCATTCTTTCATTTACAGAGATAACATTTCAAACTCCTGTCCCCAAAAATTTCGGATATGCTAGGCTCTTCAGATTCATAAGATCATAGGAACAGAAGCTAAAAAATCAAATTGTAAGAAATGAATTTCACATTGAAGATGACATACCAATAGGATTACAATGCAATCTAGCAGTCCTGAATTGTGCATCTACCAGCTTCTGGTCAAACTGATAGAGACCCAATCCACACTGCACTGTGTTAGGATAGAGATCTGTTACCAACACAACGCTCCCAACATATCACTGCAGCCACACATTGGGAACATCTCCCTTGTCACTCATGGGGAGATGTTCCCAATGTGCGACTGTGATGGATGGTTGGGACAGTGTTGGGAGCAATTGTTGGTAGCAGATCGTAACTCTTTGTATTAGTTCATAACACAAAAGGAAACTTAAGAAGACACCTTAACTGAAATTGGTTTGAGTCTTCTTCATGATTTTATCCGAAGCAGAAACCTCAAACTTACAAAAGGAAACTTAAGAAGACCCCTTAACTGAAATTGCCTGACTAGGGTGGTTGAATTCAAAGAGATTACAGAGCAACAGAAACTTCAAGTGCATATTAGATATAAAGATTTTTAATCACCAAAGCATACCCGTGTCTTAAAAGCAAACCGCAATGTCTGGACCTGTGTTCCTGAGCAAACCCTCAAATCAAAACCAAGACTATCTACACCAACAAGCGCTGCCTCCTGTATCAATTTGCAGCAACAGTCAATATCTAAGATACCGATTCTAAAATTTCATGTACTCTAGGAAAATTCAGATTAGGGTAGATGTGCAGTTACTCCACAATACAAGCTCATAATCAATGTTTTAAAACACAGAGGCGACGCGAGGCATTCCACTACCTAGAGGCATGAGGTGTAGTTCAGAACGCAAGAGGCGTAAGCCTCCTCAAATAGGAGGGGGGCTAGGAGGAGGAAGGGGGATCTCATTTTTTTTCTTTATTTTTAATAAAAAAATTTTATATTAAGAAGAATAAAGATGCATAACATTAGTTGAAAGGGGGGGTCTTGTCAAATTGGAGGCGAGCTCGCTTTTCTCGCTTGCCGGAGCGGAGCAAGACCCCCCTAACTCAAAAAAACAAATTAGACTGCATCGAAAAGGGGGCGGGGGTTCGCCCCCCAACAGAAGGGGCAGGGGTCAAACCATTTTCTCTCCCCTTATCTTTTCTTTCCCTTTTCTTTCCCTTTCCTTTCCTTTCCTTTTTTTTTTCTTTTTTCTTTTTTTCTTTTTTGTCTTTTTATATAAGATGTGCATGAGGTGTACGCCTTTAGCATGCCTCATGAAAAAAGCGCATGAGGCATACGCCTCTTGCACCTAAGGCATACACCTCAGAGGTGTCAGCGCCTATGGCATACACCTCAGGGCATTTTGGGAGTGCCTCGCCTAGCGGCGCACCTCCAGGCATACGCCTCCCACGCCTTTTAAAACACTGTTCATAATGCATGTAACCTTTCTCCTAGGGATGCAAACAAATCGGATCGGATTCAAATCAGGGCATATTCAAATCCGATCCGACACTGTTCATGTCGAATCCGATCCAATCGGATCTGATAGGACATGATCCTCTGATCTGATCCGATCTGACTTTTTAAAAAAATTTAAAAAATTATTAAAAGAAAAATAAAATATACTAATTTAAATAAAGTAAAAACAAAAAATACAAGTACTTTTTAATTATTTTCATCATATATATACATGTTTTTATAAAAAAAAATATAACAAATTTATAAAAATACAATATAAAAATGTATTTATAAATAAATGAATAACATATATGTATATATATATATATATTTATAAATATATAATATATATCAGATCAAATCTTCTCGGATCGGATAGGGGTGATCCGAATCTGATCCGTTCCAACGATCCGAACAGGGGTGATCCAAATTCGACCAAATAGGATTGGATCTCAGATCAGATCACGATCCGATCCATTTTCACCCCTAAACTTTCTCCCCCTCCTTCCCTCTCTTCTCTCGGCCCTAATTGGGTCAATTGGGAGCTTCCTACATGAAACTATGTATTTCTGCCACATTGAGGGGTCTTGTGGTCAATCCAAACCATCTGCCAGATAAGGTACCCACTGGATTGGTATGTGTTTAATCCCACTGTCCATCACCCTTATGTTCCACCCACCTTGTATTGGAGCTTTGCCCAGTTGATTAGTCATTCATTTTTTAACATAAAGGTTGTCCATAAAATAAGACTATCTTGAACATGTCACAAGGTCGGTCAAAATTTTCCATTGACATAGGATGGGAAGAGGAAAACTGCCATTCCTTTTAAGATCCAAACTAATTTTCCATGTAGAAGATTCCTGGGTTATTTTGAAGAGCTCACTAAACTCAACTGGCAAACCCACAGTATACATTCATGCATGTGTGTATTGGAACAAATTTGCTAGTTGGATCATTTAGTGAGAAGTCTAAACAACCCAGGAATCTTCCACTGTTCCATGTGGCAAATTAGTTTTGAAACAATCTTATGTTCCTCTCCCCAACCTATGTCATGAAACAATCTTATGTGTAAAAGACGTTGACATACAGTCAAAATAAGCCCATCTATGGGTACCTTTTGAATTAAAAATTGAAATTTAAGAAAATCTGGATTGGCCATAGGATGATTTGGACTGTGAGAATGCAAACATGCACTATGTCTGATCCAGAGTTCCCCTATCTGATAGCAAATCTAGATTGGTTGTAGGATCCCTAGAGTTGCATAAATTGGTGGGGTCATCTACAGAGCTTCCTTGCTTGACCTGAATATGTACATTGTTTGCAGAGAAAAAAAAAATTCTTTCCAAAACATTCAAACAACATGAAGGGTTCACTTCTTCTTTTATGATGACTGGTGGGTAATATTGCAAGTCCCCAACTACAAGTCACATGGCTCTCTTTTGTTCCTGGAGTTAACCAAGCCAAACAGCCACAGGGCAGGCACCATTTCTACACATTACACTTCTCAGAATGGTACAAAATTTTACTACAGTCTCTTTTTTTTTTGTTTATGAAAACTGTAATGTAAGTTTTGTTTTCAATTGAAGTTTTGATAATAGAAAATCTATAATATTTATTAATTAATTTATTTCGTCAAATAATAGGAAACCTGCAAATATCAGCAATAAACAGAACTTGATAACAAAGAGTAATGTTTTCTCTTTATCCTCCTAGCAAACTGCGGGGAATAACAATTAGTCATCTGTTGAGACTTCTAAGTAATATTAAATGGTTAACAGGTTTCAGTGAGCACTGAGACATGGACACTTTGGAAACAAAGTCAAATAAAATATAAACTAAGGGGCTGATCATATGAGTGGTTTTGTTTTGAAAAACAAAAAATACATGTTGGTAAGCACCATCTTAGTATAGATCTCTCTAAACCCAGTCATACCACGTATCATAACAGGAAAATTCTAGTAAGGGAGCCACTTGGCCATTTTCCACTTTAAATTCCTGTTAAAGACCTCAGAAGCCCCAAAACATGCAATTTCCATAAGAGCTCTGATAGGAATGAAAGCCCACACTCAGGACCAGGCCAGGTTGATACAGCCCAAGCCCAAGCTCCAAGGGACTTGGCCAAAGGCCAAGAGGAAATAGGCACATGATACCACCACTCAACTTCGTATATTCTGGAAGGCCACATCAGTGTAATTAGTTACTCAGTGTTTTCCTTCATGTGCTCTAAGAGAGTATAGATACTGAGACAAGTGGTTGTCTACTTGTCTATAGAAAAACTAAAATAACAATTAGTCCACAATTTCCATATGAGATCCAAGAGACCAAGATTCCCTTGCGCAAGACCATTTCCAATGGCACAAGCTGCAACGTGTATGTAAACAAGGATAATCAATAGAATATTTCAAAGTGTACTTAATTAGTAAAAATAAGTTTGGTTGAAAAGAAAAAGAAAGGCAAAGAAAATCTAAAAGAGAGTAACTTTCCTTAGTTTGGTAAACAAGGGAAACCAAAAGACAAAAGAAAGTTAAGGCAAGATAGGAAGGTAAGTTTTCTCTTTGACTTCTTGTACTTTCTCTACATAAGGTAGAGAAAACAAAAGAAAACAGTGGAGAGAGTGAGAAGAAGCCAAGCTAGCTGTCAGCAGCCAATTTTTGGCTTAGCTCCTTCACTTTATGCCTTTGTTCTCGCTCCCAAACTTTAAAATCATTGAGATATGTCAACTACCATATCCCATCCCAAAATCATGACAATCAATCATAGAAACTGATAAGCCCCAAGGACCAAACCTAAATTCCTCACAAGATTCAACAACTTAATTTACGTTTCAACTCAAAATCTCTAGAGTTGATCATCCCATTGACAAATATTCCAACTGCACCAAGAATTATAATCTTGATGATCAAATCCCTCTCAGTAATTCCAAAACCCTAAATTAACCCACCCATTCAATTTCAACCGTAAATTCCCTCATTTCCTTCCGAAACTAGCAAGATTCCAAGTTAAAACCTTAATCTAAGCTAAATCTTCCAATTCAAATCTCTGATCAAAGATCCATCTTTTCCGTCAAATCTAAGATGTTTAGTAATGCCTACCCGCCAAATTTCACCTTGAGATTCCCTCATTTGACCCGCCATCAAGCAGAGATTCTATTTCAGCAAATCTCATTGATTAGAGCACATCATGCCATGGATCTCCATCATTCCAGATTTATTTGACCAATCGGACCTCACCACCATGTTCAAAGACCCAAAAAACCCCAATATGTCAATTTTTACGGCCTAACTCCTCCATTTAACCATTAAACTAAAAAGATTATTTCAGTGCTCCAGATTAAATCGCCCTTAGTTGGCCTTGATCTAAACATTTCGGCCAATCAGCTTGCTCCTAATAGGCCAAATAAACCCAAAAACCCCAAAATAACCCTTCTTGGACCTAGGAAGTGACATAAAGGCCATCTCTAATTTATGTTTTCTGCCATTAGCATGCCTAATTTGAGCCCTTCAAGGTCAGATACGAAAACCACTTCATTGGGGGGTCAAAAACCCCAAAATCTCTTCAATCTTTCATTAGGAACCATCAACAAATGATGATAGGAAGCTTTTACAAGCAAAATCTTCGAGATTTCACGCATGGAGAAAGCCCTATGAAGTCTTGGATGCGTGGAGAAGAAGTTGCAGACGTGGTTTGCTTTCTATCCTCTATAAGTCGTGCATTTTTTAAGGGAAAATGGGAGAAAAACGAAGGGAGAGCACCCACAATTCAGAGAAACTCGACCTTGAGTGAAAACATATCCAAACCCTATGTCAATGGGAATCCTAGGGTTTTGACAGGCATCCAGATCACTCCAGCTCTCCCAATCTCGTCCCTAACTCATAGCTAAGTCTAAGAAACTCTAAAATATACATTTCCTACCATCCAAGAACGTTTGGAATCGAACTACCAACGAGGATCACCTTCAACGTGCATTTTAGAGTCCATCTTAGTTGCTGGAAATTGTCTGTCAAGGCTACACTTGAGAGGTAATCTTCTCAGCTCATCTTGTTATTGTTTTTGCTTGATTTTTAGTAATTTTAGTTGATTTCTAAGTCATTTGCTTGCTTATTGTGGTGGTAAGTTTGAAGGAATTTAAGGTTCATGGAAGGATTCTTTAGTTTTATCAGCCAATGGTGCTTAAGGGATCACTAAGGGATGACTGGCCAGAGGTTGAAGTGAACTGAGAT